ATATATATATATATATATATATATATATATATGTTCACACGTGCATCTTGTATGGTGCCGCTCGCAAGAGCTCATCTGTCTTGGGGTGAGCGATCTTTATGATTATATGAGGACTTCATAACTGACGGATCGACTAGGGGGTCAAGTTTTGGTGCCTGCGGGTTATCGCCTCTATGGTCAGGTTTCCAGAAGACTTGTTATCGTGTGGAAAAACAATTAGTGTAGCGGTCTCAAGCATGCGTTTTTGAGGCTACAAACAGGTACTCAAAGTGCAACGGCTTTCAATCGAATTTCTCAGACTATCCGCCGTTAAAGCAGCAACAACTTGAGAACAGCTGACTTCAGTGAACCTTAAGGTTTCTATCCTAACTTATCTCTCAATGGACAGAAACGTACCCGAACGCAACAGTGATTCCAATTGGTCCCTATATAGTGTGTCGGTTGATTGATTATCTTCTAAGACGGTCCTTGTATTTAGTGAACTAAGCGAATGTTACCGCTTCTACACCCGTTGCAGCAAGACCGTGGGAAGCCAGCAGTGCGGAATGGCAAACAGCTGTTGTAGGGTATAAGTAATTAATGTGCACGTATAGGTTTGAGAGGCGAAAAGGTTGTCATGCCATCCACAGTATTTTATCATCAATTATAGATTTCGTCACCGCGTTGGCAGCAGACACCTGCTTGAGTTGACTGGTAAAAACCGCAGGATGTTTCCTTGGGGCTAGGTATGTGAGTTAATTGTGGTCTTGTCTTTTTGATTTAGTGACTGGAATATATCTCAAACATTCTCTTAAGGCGTTGAATCAACACGTTTCTGCAGGATGCTACCGGGAATCTGGGAAGTGCAGTCGCGACAGCATAGTCTAAGGATATTTGGCTGATGCGGAGAGTGGAGGAGGCAACGAATGGAGCGTTGCATTAGGCTGTAGCTTCCATGATAGTTTAGACCGAAACCGCGAACTCTCAATGGACTTTCTCACAGACCATGCACGGTCTGTTCTTACATGAGGTCCAATTCGCTCAACCAAATACCTTATGCAACCTTGTCGCCCGAGAGTCCTACTGTTTTGGGGCTTATACGTCATTCATCTGGGGTAAATTACTGTGAGGTGGTACGGTATCAAGATAATCTGAGTTGTATGCCCATCTAGTTCATTCAGTCTCAATCCATCCTTAATTTATTAGGTTGTTTGGTGTAGCGTACCGGATACGGTCGCGATTCTGTACAAGGAGTCCCAGATAATATGTGAATGTACTTCTCGGCCTGAGAGCCGATGCATTCAGTATTAGTGCTACTTCATCTCGGTAACTCTATCGCAGATGTTTTCTCGTATAATTTTTCACCCACTTTCGCGTTGTTTATTTTGAGAGGGCTACAACGCGTATTCACGCAAGCGGGATCACTATGAATTTTGCGGTCAATCGTCCCAAATGCTGAACCTGGGGAGCAAATCGTTTGGGACTATACATTCAACCCGGAAACAGGGCTCTGCGGGATACTGTGGTGTAATTAGATGTAACTTTCTTCCAAAGCGGCAAAAAAAATGTGGCAAAAACCATCCAGCTGTTAGGCTATGTGCTCCAGCTCTCGTCCTGTCTCTCCTCTACATGCGTTTTTTAAACACGGGTGGGGGCGTAGTCGTAAGAAATAAGCAGGCTCCCTTTCAGAGTATGAACATAAGTCATCACGAGCTTAACGCCCGACACCGACTCGAAGGTTTACTGGGACTCTGGCCTTATTGAAATTCTTGCGTACTAGCTCCCGTGGGGAATGAAGGCCGTTATTAGTGCACAGGTGGTGATAGCCATAATACAAATTAGAAGGTGTATGTGTGCACCAATAGAAGTTTTTAGTATTTCTGCGACACGTATAAAAATAAATACAATGTGAAATGGGAGCGGGTCAAAAAGGGGACTTATCATATGTGAGAGCGCCTTGGTGAAAGTCCGGACGGCGGGAACGTGTTTTCTCCGCAGTATGGCTGCTACACGTGTTCCATAATTGTCCGTGGACTTGGATTGCTTGGGCTGACTCCTTGCTCCCTGCGCGCGCGTGTCTGTGTCCTGACTGGGTTCGGTTTCCTTTTATGTAGGTCCCAGTGCGCATACGTGGGCGCGTCGGCACATGAGTGGTTGCTACGCTGACTAGGCGGTGCAGACAATCGATGTCCAATGAGTCAGCTTGATGCGACGTGGTTTGTGAGTATGAGAAAAAAGACAAGCCTCGCGATCCAGTGAGCGAATGTGAGTTGAACAGTCAAGTATGTGGGTGACTGGGTCGCTACACCGTCACGAAATATTACTAGATCCAGAGTCTTGTCGCTGCCTTCAAAACGTCAATGCATTCCTGGAATTAACATATCTCAAAACGCTGAAGTCCATTCAGAGTCGTATGATGGCCGTATAGGTTATTTCCATCCAATCTCAAAATGCTAGTTCACGCCTTACAGTAGGCCCGAAATTTCATGTGGCGCTGCGCACTACTCGTGCAGATTTTATTCTGGGGATATGTTAGCTTAACTTGTACTGCTCTACCTGTGGTTTTTTATTCAGTTAGTATCATCGAAACGGCTCAGTCCTGCAGCCGTTCATATTGTACCCTGTGCATCTCTTTGGTCTGCCGCATTGTAGCGTTAGTTCAATTGGTCGAATGCAGATGCGACTGGCGGCTTCATATCTACCGATGTGATCAAAGCCATACGAAACAGGTTACTGTAGCAACCACAAAGGGACCAAATCAATTGTGGACTAATCACCAGAAATTTTTACGTTTACGTGCTACACTAATTCGGTTTTAACGGGAAACCGAACTGAATTCCAGACGAATCCCGCGTTTATGATATTGCTCAACTGAATATGCTGCACAAAGCCCACGAGTTGTTTCCGATTTGGGTCAAAATAAACCAAAAATTGGGAGCCGTGCCCACCCAATGAGCCTCAAGAAGGGCAAAACTGGTTTTCATGGTTGATTATCGAACGTAGCCTCTTCGTGATGTGCTATTCTGTACTTGAGGAGGCCTTTCAATCCTAAGTGTTATTCACACGGTTCCCACAAATTCCTCACAACTGATATTAGGCCAGAAACCTGTTCATGACAAATGGCCATCTACAGCGAGCACCCTTCCCCAGTGGCCGCTTTGGTTGTCCCGTCAGGTTCCAGTTGTCATGGATGTGAAACGGACTTCCGACCGTTTATTGACTTCCGTGTTGAAAACCATATTTCAGCTTTTATTAACTGCGTAAATAAATGCTGCAAAGGAGCAAATGTATGACCTAATGGTGATCCAGGATCCACTAATCTGGGACGAAGGTTTCTCACCGGGTCTGTCAGTATTCGCCTTGGAAGAGTTTCAATCCGTCGGAAGAGAGCTGCATTGCTTGGGCGAATTAGTTTCCGTAAGCTAGCGTGCACAGTTGGCGCCATGACGGTGCTCGTTCTCAGTGTTGTACAACAAATCCAAACGGCCGGATTTCGTGTCAGCTGCCCCGTTTGAATGTCACCAGCCTCCAGGTTGCTACCAGGACGTAGCTTCTATGTGCACTTTGATATTAACCCCAGCTATGCAACTGGCACAATGCTGATTGAGAGGGATGCCGGGTGAGCTAGTGAAATGCACGAATCCAATAAGTGCCATCCTGCGAAGCAAGTTCTGCAAAACGATTTTTGTCCGCTTTGTTGGTGTTGGAATCGCACTACGAATTCCACTACGAAGGTATGATTGACTAAACCCTAGAAGAATAGCATGTTCGTTTTGTTATGGCCAAAACGTTTATGCTGTTGCCAGCAGTTTTGCTAACACCCTATTGGGCTCCAAGTTTCATGCAACAGCCCGAAACCCAAGTTTCACTAAGGGAAGCTATGTGGCATACTTTCGCGGATTGTTCGATGGCGAACCGAAAAGTGATCCAGTAAAGGTTGCTTTACGATAATCAATAGTCGTCAGGCAGTATTCAGATTCGTACACATGGAAGATAAAGTTCCGGCGAGCGTGAAAGAGTTGGGTTGAAGAATATAGGTAACTCGGGTGCGCTTATTGGGTGTTGGTCTGTACGCCGGGTCTGGCAGTTGGATTGCAAACGTTTCCTCACTAATCAAGATGACAGCATCAGTACTGAGTTGAGTGGGAAGGGGTTTACTGAGTAATTCCATAGAAAAACAACTTGTCTTTTAAAACTGACCGTCTGTGGCGGTTACTGACAAGATCAACGAGTGAACCTTAATTCTGATTAGGTTAATGTTTCATGTCGTGCATGTGGCAATCAAAAATTAGAACACCGTTAACATGAACGAAGGAGGTAGCTGAATTAAGAATTGTGCAAAAAACGAGTTCGAGCCACGTAATGAATTCATCGTTGAAGTAGGCTGCCACTTGTCTTGCGCGACTAGGAGAGCGAAAAACCGACGGGACGGAGATTAATCACTGGACTTCGAACAAGCTAATTCGGCAAGGATCAGTCAGTTCACGAATAGCGATGAACTACTGAACGGTTGGAGTCACCGTAGTTTTTTCATGACTTCTTTTGGAAACCTGGGGAAGGCAGATACTACAAATGGTCAGTACAAAGGGACTGACCATTACAACTTTAGTGACTTTCGTTTAGGCCCATGAGGCGAAGTTTTCAGCGGACTCGACTGATTGAAAACCTTAAGCTGAGTGCTTCAACTTTCCGCGGTCGTTTCGGAGTATCTGATAACAGCTAACTCTGAGACTCGAATCCAAAGGTATTAAGTATGAAACGGTCGGTTCTGAAAAGAGGTTTACGGCTTGTGTTATCTTGTCCGGGTCCCAGTCAGTCGTATTTGCTACTTGCAACTGTAACTACTGAGTTAGTAGGTATTTCTGGTTGATGTGCGGAATCCTAGAAATTCAAGGGTAAATGGGCGGCACTGTTCTCTTCCCTACCGGGTTGACTGATATGCATTCAAGTCTTTCAGTCAAATATGGAGTTGCTGCGGCCCTGACTAGGAGGGGCGTGGTACCTCCCAACATATAATCTTTGCCGGGCCAGGCTGCAATCCCCCAAAGCCATTTACTGCGTTATGGTTTATAACTCTCTCTGTGGGCTGCAACGAAAAGAGTGGATATCCCCGCAGTGGCCCTTCGACCGATTCTACTCTCCACCCTATTCTGAATGCTATCAGTATGAGTGGTCGCGCTGAGTACCACCAGTCAACGGTAAGTAAGCGTGTCATACATTCGGTTCTCGGATATACGAAAGGCCTCAATAGAATATCATTGGCTACTCCGAATTGAGAATCCCAGGGCAGCGAAAAATCACTGGCAGTTTCTTGATGGATTTCGTTCTTTACTCAGTGGTAACCTCCGTATGAGACAGTGAGTGAGCCCCTTTCATGCTTCTCGAGGATCTTCCTTGAGTCATGTTTCTTACAACTGTTGGCCTTTTCCGCTTTTCGGAATTAGGTAGCTAAAGAGTTGTATCGACCAAACGGGCAGAGCCATCTTCTTGGTTCTTGGAACTGGAAGTTGGTACATCTAAACCAATGGGCCTGCTTCTGCTTTTAAGAGTGGGGTTCTCCGGTTTGACTTCACTCCTACCCTGAGCTCCCCTTGTGGACGGGAAAGACGGATTTCACTGACCGTCTAGGTTTATATCTGAACAAATTGACGTAGTGAAGTGATCTTTCAGCTGTGACAAGCTTTTTCGTACATGGCTGCGATGCAACTCGAGGGCTGAGATACTGCCGAAGTTGCGCACACCGAGGTGGGCACAAAATCGAGAAGCCAGTGTACGGCTCAAGAAATGGACCTTCAGGCCACCACTTTCATTCCCTAACGGCTGATGGATGCATTCCAGATAAGTTTGATCGCACACAGATTGTTGTCCGGCAGCATGTGTATTATGCATTTCAAGTATCCAATGGTCTATAAATCCCACAGGTATGATCCCGATGAATTGGGGAATAAGAGGCTTATTCCTGCTTTGCAGTGTGTTATGATTTTGGCCATAAACTGCTATATAAGTCGAGTTTTTCAGTGCTGTTTGCTTGATGATGGAGTATTTCAGAAAAAAACTGACAAAAAACCGTTTGCACAGAAGCTCTTTATTTATTTGATCATTGAGAAAAGTAAACGTTTTCGTATCACTTTTCAGAGGGGGAATCTTTTTTTTATCGAAATATACCAGGGTTCTTTATGCTGTCTTTGAGCGTCGTACCATCATCTATTTCAAGTTAAATGGGTTGGTTAGGCTGAAGCGTATACCTCTAGAAGCTGGTTTGACCGTTTGCCAACCCGGAGTTTTGACCCATTCATGGACCGTATCCTGTAAACTTTGGAGTTCTAGAAATTGTTGCAGTCTGGGAGTGAACTTGGGCGTTCGTTTGTGTTCCGGTTGAAACTGCAGCGGCATGTTTTTGGCCAGCCATTTTGGCAAACTGCAAGAATCCAGAAAGTCGGACAATTTCTGTTGATATTTCTTTTTCTCCTGCTCAGCACTCCGTGGGTTGTACGCTTGATTCGAAAAGAGAACGTGGTCAACATACTGTCACCCTCCTTTGAAGGATGCGGATAAAGTGTGGTTGTGTACTGCAATCTCAGACATTACTGTTTTCGGAGTTTCAACCTTGTCTCTACAGTCAAGGGGGCGAGATTGCCCAAGTGGTTAGAGCGCGAATTCACTGACTGCAAAGTCCGTGGTTCAAATCCGACCTCTGCCTCTCGACTTCCCCCGTCTAGGTTCGGGCAACCTGGAAGTATCCTGGCTCTTGTGAACCCCCCGGATGGAATGGCAGCTAGGCACCGAAAGGGTGCTACAGCTGGACGGTTTACAGTTAAGTTTTGGAGATTCAGTCTAATCTCTTACAAGGCTTATCGTTACATTTATACTCCGTCCGTCTTACTAGCTACGTATTATACTGTGTTCTATATAGTGTATTATATCATGTCTGACTTACGTCTATCGTATTTTAGGACGTTTCCAAATGAGACCAGCGGTAGCTGCTTCTTCCGGTGCGAAATTCAGAACATTTTACTGTCAGTCTTTGGACGGTTTTTCACAAACCAAAGCCTGAATGGCATTAGTGCAGGAGTAGAATGACTCTTGTCCCAATCGATATCTCATTACGTATGGAATAAAACATCTTGACTGACCCTACGCCACTCAACATACGCCTAGAATAATTCAACGCAATCAAGCTGGAATCACGCTGGACCGGAGGACATAACGGTAATTCTAAGGTGGATAAATCCTGTCAGCATATTTGGTGAGGATAATAACAGTACTGATATTACCATCCACCATCCTATGGATTAGGGGATATGGCCGAAATGTTGGTGGATCCGTGCATCGACTGATTTCTGGTCAGGTGGTTGTTGATTTGTTACAAGTTTTCGGATATGGCCGAAATGTTGGTGGATCCGTGCATCGACTGATTTCTGGTCAGGTGGTTGTTGATTTGTTCACAAGTTTTCCAATCTTTCTTCACCAATCCAGAAGATATTATCGATGCACGGTCGGGTGATGCTTTTTCGATTGATAACGAAACATTCTGTTAGCGCAAAGCGGGTGCAAGTGAGCAGATCAACATCTACATGATCAATAACTAAGGCCCACCGTAATCATTATTAGCTAGCTGGATTTCTCGTTCTTTTTTTGGCCTAGGTTCCTCCTTATTGAAACGAATCTTGAACAAATCCAATTCAAAAGGTGCATTCGGAGAATGCACATTGCGTTGTATTAATAACTAAACCTTCCCTGAAATCGTAGAATCAGCCCTAATACTCAACTACTCTTTGGATTAATAAACCGCAAGCCTAGGTTTCATGAACTTACCTTTCATGTGCAAACCGAGATAGATCAAAGCTGATCTTTTAATTCCCAGGAATGGAAACTTGGGGCGGTGCTGACCAGCCGCAGATAGGGCCCTTTGTAACGCAACAGCCACAGTTTGTTCCAGGAAACCGGGTAACGGTAATGAACGCACATCGATTGGCGACGGCATGGGTGGCAGTTTGTGCGGTAGGATCAAATTTTCATAGGATGTCGGCTTTCTGAAAAGAGTACAGCAAGAGTACAGCAAACAAATTCTGAGGAAAATTCACAGAGTTCTGTTCGTACGTAAACTGACAAGTCTGATATTTCGAAGCGGCAGGGTGTTTCGAAATTTTGTGCACATTTTTCTACACCACTGTATTTTCTGGGTGCTCAAACGGTTAGGATTCATGAGAATAGTATAATCTGGCGTTTGTCAATGTATTACTTCAAGAGAATTGGGGTCGTTATGAATGTGTAGATTCTAGCAAGCACTTCTGATAGGTGACAGAACGCGGTGATCACCAATGTCCGAGGAACGAGGGAAGTTACGGTGTCTTAGAAGTTTGACTTTCGACCGGCAAATCACGACCGTGACTGGTTCTGTTAGGACACGTTGGCGATCGCATCCACTTTTTCAGGACAAGGCATGCTAGGATTTCTCTCAGGTCATTTTTTCCAATGCTTGGTGGCCACAATGGGGTAGCTTAATGAGTGTATTTTGCGGTAGGTAGGATGTGCACCAAAGTTATGGAAGCCTCTTACAAACTAATTAAGCAAACTTTGCTATGGGGCTGACTTCATTTTGGCCCGTTTTGGATTTTTCAGACAGCGTACTTTCTGGTGTCTAGTTGTGCAAACTGGTCTATGGATGCGGCGGTCAACAGTCTGAAACCAAAGGGTTAAATGACCGATTCGAATTGGCTCACCTACGGCCTAAACAAGGCGAAAGATTTCTGTGGTTTTGCACACCACACAGCAACTCAGCTTGGATACGAAATTGTTGCTCACATGATTTTTCCAAGGACACCGAGGGGATCCTCACCGTTCGTCAACCTAATCATGTCATTCAAATTTGAGCACTATGCTACCTATTATGAAGTGTCTTGGATACCAAACGCGGCGAATTCGAGCAGTTTAGCGAAAGTAAGTGATGCTTCTGGTGTTTCGACCGGAATGTTTTATTTTGCGCCAGATGAAGCGACCAGGGAGCCTCTGGGGTATGACTTAACACTTTGTCTAAGAAGGAAGTTAAATCAAGCTCATTACACTAAATGTTTTCCGGGTCATGGGTACTGACATAGTCCAGTCTGTAAAGGAAACTGTGTCTACAGAAGGGTGGTGGCGCCGATTCCAACAAAACAACAACGATAATAATAGTAACAATACAGCATTAATACTAAAAGCACAATGACAACTGTAAAACAGCATAATACTGGTTTTGCCCTATGCACAAGGTCGAAACCAAGTAGGGCTCCCAGTCTTCAATGTCCCTCAGTGGCAGTTTTTACTTACGAATGAAACTCGACTTCAAAACATTTCTTCAACTTGCATCAAATATGGGTTATGATAATCAGAATTCCACCCCACCCCCTCTATGCCGCTGTTCTGCACGACGGTCTGTGGTCTTTTGGTTCTCCCACACAACGCGGGACGCTGAGCTTCGTTTAGGAAAGGGCCAGAGAGATCAGATGAGAACGGCGTGATTACCCTACCGAGGACAGTTTCGTGGAGGCCGGCTAATTTCTGCAACGAACTCAGAAGGATGGTATTTCGTCATACAAAACGTCTCGATATAAACAAGTGTCCACGACGATGTTACAAACTTTTTCACCCATAATGGAAGTCAATTGCAGCCTGTTGCTTTCCAGTTCTCATCGTGATACTCGGGAATATGATTTTGAATATTCCAAACAATTTGTAACAAGCGAGTCCCTGACGACCTGACAAACAATAAACAGTTATTTTTCTCGGTTTTCCGACTCAAAATAGTGAGGCCTTAAGCCACGAAATATATGTTAACCGCCTCCTGAATCTGACAGATTTCAAACTAGTGTGGTGAGTTCACTCAACTTCATGATCTGTATGCAGTGAGAGTGAGCTGAGGTGCTAGTCGAATGAAGTGAATATTGACTTGCCTCAAAATTAATATTTTCGTTAGTCACTGGAAAACCTGAAGCTAAACCAGTCAGTTATCTTGGGTAGTGACAATCGGTCAGAAGGTGATGATTTCAAGCGCTTCCGCCTGCGCATGATCAGCAACTGCGTGTGATGAGAAAGAAACTGGAACCCAGTGCTCTTCCTCTTCGGTTTGGGCGCACCATAAACAACTGCTCCAGAAAAGAAGCAATACCGTTCGAACAAGAGTGGTCCGAGTGCAATTTATACATACATTATCTGTTAACACAACGATCACAAGTGCTTCGACTTGGTGTAGTTAAAGCCACATAGGTCACCTCGTCTTGGATAAGCGAACCTTCTAAATGTCAAGGTACCGTTATGCGCATGACCAGCACAAGTCCCGACTTACCTTAAAAACTTTAGAAGACATTCGTTTGAACAAAATGTGTAGATTTCGGCATCGTATCTGGCTAAGTATTCCCTTACACCAAGTTTGAGCCCCTCATAACGTTGATTTCCGTTTATGTAGCACACGGGACAATAGCCTCGGAGAGCCACTTGCATCGGAAATGCATCACGGCTAAGTTCAATGGCATCACTTTGCAGCCTGAAAGGGAGCTTTTCTTCCGACGGAAGAGATTTATCTGACTGTGGTGGCACGTAGTTTTCTGGCTGTGAAAGAAACTTTTCCAACTCGTCGGGCCCCGCCATTCGGTAGTACCGGCCTTGATACTCGGCAGCAAACTTTAGGGAGGTTGGAATAGAAATGCTTATGCCATTTGCATCATGCCCTTCATTTGTTTGACGAAAATCTTGCTCCACAGATTGACTGTTAGAATCACAGGATTGTACAAGATCTTCTTTCGGGTACAAGCCCACATTTAGCACGACAACTAGGTCGTGTTTTGGTTCATTGATTGTATCTTCCAGTTCTCCACGCTCCTTCCAGCTAACTGGACAGTAGTGCAGGAACTCGCTAGCATGCATTTTGAAGTGACGTTCCTCGATGCCCAACTCTGCGATTGACGCTGCTTTCCCTTAGAGATAAAATGGAGAAAATGGAAGTAAATCAGTGGAAGCCATCATTACCACTGCAGGTGTTTTATGACAAAGTCTCGTTGATTTTGAAGATTGTTACATTGGTTTATCTACATCTATAAAATGACACGTGATAGAACTATGGCGCGGCAAATTACCGTGAATTTGGAAACGTTTAAACTGGCGGAAAGTTTATCCCAACAGGACACCACTCCAAAAAAAGCTGACATTTATTCACGTGTCTCGGTTTTACGAAACATTTAAAGGCTTGGACATTCAGAATACCATCGCGAGGCAAAATAACTACTTCACCTCAATATTGACCGTAGAAACCTAACATTCACAATTAAGTACAGAAGAGTGCAAAACTTTTGTTTCTTGTACCGTGTGTATGACAGCCTAGAATCAGATTCTCAATGTCATTCCACTGTGCATAAATTTTGCTATTCATTTGATAAATAGAGAGAAACCGAAACACGCTAATTACAATGATTAGAATGCCTCAGTCCTAATGGGGAATCACCGAATGGGCAGGCAGAGTTAGGACATGTAGTCTTTTGGTTAACAGCTAATAACTGTCAGCATCTTGGCAACGTGATCATCCGCAGCTGAGAACATCATTTTGGGTGCGATCAGCCGTCAACTTCTGACGGCTGACTTGACGAATAGTCGGGATACTTCTTATAGTAATTGTCAGGTTCTTCACGAAGAGGATTTATTTAAACAGTCAGAAACGTTCCTAACAGAGACAGTAGCGTTTTGTTTATCTCCTGACTTAAGGCTGCCACTTTGTCATGACGGTTGGGCTGGATTGCTACAGTAATCGAGCGATCATCACTGGCGTGCATTCATACCAGGCAGACCAATAGTAGCGGAAAACCGTACAGCGAGTAATCATATTGCGAGGCGATCTGGTTCAAGGTCGCATCGTCCTCTGTGGTGGGATTGTGCGAACAGTAAGGTGTTTTCTTTGAGCAACCAGTAAATCCGTACTTATGGATGCAGCGGTGCAGCCCTCTCCCGAGGAAGGATAGGTTAGGAAAGGCTAGCCCTTAAAACTACACATTCCGACCCCCACAGCTAGTGAGCATGAACGCCGCTGAGTTATCCAACACAGCCAAACAACAACTAAACCTTGCCGCAAGTTCGATTTGGCTCCAAACGCATGATTTGTTCGCGGTAGCATTCATCATTATCGTTGACAGCATGACATCAATGTTCAACACCGATGCTCCACTGTCGTACATCCATGATTTATTCGAAAACTTTATTGTCAAGAAAAGAATAAAGATGGACAGAAGAAGGACTTGGTGTCAGCTTACTACAATCATTCTGAGGTGACTGCACCTCCTGACACTCGATTAGACAATCTGGATAGAAACTGATGATACGAACGTCACTGACATCGGTTGGCAGCCACATCTTACATCTCTAACCAGGCGCAGTGGAGGTCACGCGGTCCCTATCCTGGAAGGCGAGTAGCGCCGACAACACACAAGCGTTCTGTAGCCTCCTTCATACTCCATCAGGCTGAAACATACTCCTACAGTCAAGCAGGCTAGGCTACTCAGCCATCGAATCCTGACAGGGTCGCCCAAGAAAATCCTACTTCCTGCTCCCTTCTGGATGGGAGTTTTGAGCCAGAGGCTGGAGGCAACAACTCTCTACCCTGCTACCTGATAGTTGAGACTTTTGAGTCAATGGTTGAATGTGGAGTTACTCAGCCAAGTTCCCTTCTTCGGCTTGACCAACGGGGAAGAATCAATTGCTCCCCTCCCTCCCTCCCTCCTCAAATCCTTCCCACCTTACAAGCAAACATCGCCGAATAATTTGATTGTCAGTTATCTGACCGGTTTACCTTATACACTTCACTTCCAACTGGCTACAAAAAATAACATATTACTAAATCTATGGGATCTGCTTTACATAGGAGCTTTCAAAGCCCGTAATTTATATCAAAATGGTAACAGGGAGCGTTTGCGCAAACCTCACCTTCCTTGAAATTTATGTATGCTGTTACTGTGAAACACACATACAAGACAAGAGTATGCATCTCCAAAAGCAAACAATGAACTCAGATCTTTCAAGATACGCCCTTAATTTATCCAGTGATCAGGAAGCAATGATTCGTGGAATATATATGACGTAGGGGGTGCACTCAGCTGACAGCACCTTGCTGAATTAGATTCTAGTGGACAATCGTTATTGCGCCGTTCAGTGATCCGGCTCAACCCAGCTCAGTTCGACTGGACACCAAATGAGATGTCTGTCTGTAGTATCGGCACATGTCCCAACCATTTGTAGTTCTGAAGTTGAGGACATATTCTATCGAGAGCTCATTCGTCAAGCAAGAATCCCTGACAGTGTTATCCTTGCAGGCGATATGAATGCCTATGCCGGTCGTCTAAGCCCCATGGAATCACATCTGGGCGGTCGATTCGGAGTCGATGCTCGTCGCACAGAAAACGGAGAGCCATTTCCACTGTTGTGTACAGATCAGCAGACTCTCGGGCCAGTATGTACCTCCAGCATAAAAGTTCGCATTGCGTAACCTGGCGGCCACCAAATGCAAATCAACCGTGGATCCAACTTGATCATGTGGCTACCAGCTACCTCTAGGGAGCTACAGTACAAGACCTGATTCCAATTAAACCATGATGTTAGTTCGAACGATAATTCATTTCCCTTCAGTCCTTCGCAATTCGGTAAGAAGCATCACAATCCACCATCTTCGCGGAACCACCATAGGTCAGGAGTACCTAATTGGGCTAGCCCAACTACATTAAAGCAATACTGTACTGGTAACGAGCAAGGCGAAAATGTGAGGGTTTCGCTGGCTTAAAAGAACCCGACCACCGACTGAAGCTGCGTCATTTATACAGAGTTATTTTATGGACGAGTGGGAGTATTCTCTCACAAAAATGCGCTCTTAACCACAGGCATTCTGAGAAACTTAAAAAACCAGGTTGAATCAAGCCAATTTTGTTTTAGAGGGTGAGATGTAGAGATAGAAAACTATTATGCTTTCCTAATTCTGAAGTTGTTCTATCCTTCTATCAAATGATTAGCTTAAATTTCAATCTAAATTTTATTCACCAACAAGGAGAACAATAGACTTCATCCTGACATGGAGAATCAACCAACTAGAAATACTGAGACGCAACTTATACATGCATCGGGATGCTGAACTTCTAGCCTCTAATTCCATTGAAAGAACAAGGTAGACTAGATGCTATTTGTTTTGCGCAGCGATAGTTCTGTCACACACAGTGCGAGCAAACCCACTAACAAGCAACATATTGACCCGGAATGGAACACACCCATTTAGAGGAAAACGCATGAACAAACCTCCTGGACAAGGTTTGCCGGAATATACGTGAATGGGCCTGAAAATTTTGATAATCACACAAAAAACTGTTTTTGCAGGGCCTCCAGCACGGTGAAGAACAAATTGCTGGTGGGAAATACCATAACAAAAACTGACAAGTGCGTTCACATGCAGTCGGATTCGGTATGTAAGCTATAATCGAACAAATTTTGACATTGAATTATTCAGGAAGAAAAACCAAACAATAGCTTGACCGAAAGAAACCTCTGGCTGAATATCATCCCTGATTGCGTACAACACTCATGAATATAGTCCTTTAGTCGTTTAAAAGTGAAGTCAGTTCTCCAAATGTCTGAGCTTTTGCAGAAATCCCAGTGGACAGGGACTGATACATTAACAAACTTTCCCCCACGGAAGGAAATATGGTGACAAAACCTTGACAGCCTGAAAGACTTTTGAGTCCGCGAACTTTCGTCCACTGATTGAGCAGCTGTAGGGTGTTCCTCGGTTTTTCAGCGTGGATTGGCTTCACGGAAACAGCTGTATGGTGCTCTTTGGCCTTTCAGTAGGACGAAATATCGATTAAAAGGTTGAATCTCAATGACCACACGATGCCAACCGTTTTCACAGACTGAATGACCATGCTTCTAGTCTTTATAGTCTGCTAGTCTCCAAAGTGTACATGAGAACTTTGACTGTCACGGCGTGAAAGTATTTTGCCCACAAAGGGCTGTATAGTTAGGTGCGTTGCTCCAAAGCTCACTGATGTGTGAAACTAGGATCGAAATTTGAGTCCTCCACAGGAGTGTTGTTTGCTCAGCAAATGTATAAGGTAGTCCCAGGCCACAAAATAATTACGGATAAGCTAAGCATGTTTGTGTAAGTTCTGCTGTCAATTTCACGGTAGAATTTACCGTCAGGTTGCGCAACAGTTTGTTCATGTGGATACACCGGTCAATGGTGCTCAAAAATACTCCAACCACTGCTTGGAGTGCTTCACATTAACTACTTCGAGACTTCATTGACTGTGTAGCCAACCATCCAAATCAGCAATCCTAATATATACAGTGTTTCCTCTTGACCACTAGGTCAAAGTGGTCTTTTTTTTTTGGGGGGGGGGGGGCTTTTACCAGTAGACCTAGCCAATCACCATTCTAATACGAGGCCAATTTGTATAGTTTATTCTCGGGGTAACTTGCAATCTTTTTAACTACCGAGCAAGTCGTTACGCATTTTATCTCCTTTCACAAGGAAAAATGAAACGGAGATACTCGGTCGAGATTTTTGTGAAGGCTGACTGTTTCAAGTCACGTTGGTATAAGATTCTTCCGTGGTCTGGATTCAACCTGCAGAGTCGCGGTTTCTTTGAGATATGTGCTATCACACACACACACACACACACACACAAACTAGGGTCATCTCATTGGTTGTTGATCACCCGTTTTCCCCTTCGCCCCCGGGCTAAAGGGCTGTTTTTTTTTGGGGGGGGGGGAGTCTTTTACCAGTAGACCTAGCCAATCACCATTCTAATACGAGGCCAATTTGTATAGTTTATTCTCGGGGTAACTTGCAATCTTTTTAACTACCGAGCAAGTCGTTACGCATTTTATCTCCTTTCACAAGGAAAAATGAAACGGAGATACTCGGTCGAGATTTTTGTGAAGGCTGACTGTTTCAAGTCACGTTGGTATAAGATTCTTCCGTGGTCTGGATTCAACCTGCAGAGTCGCGGTTTCTTTGAGATATGTGCTATCACACACACACACACACACACACACACAAACTAGGGTCATCTCATTGGTTGTTGATCAGGTGATTGTTGATCTGTTCGCCGAGCTTGGCAGTTGGCTTGCAAACGCTTCGTCACCATACCGGGAGACATCATCAGTGCGCAGTTGGGTCATCCCACGCTTTACACAATGCAGCTCACAATCTTATCGCCCACTCAGTTTGATGCTAATCACTGGCAAGGGACAGACTTCTGGTAGATCGCGGCATAGTCGATAGTCTTGTACGGATTAAACAAACGTGTTGGAATAATGGTATCCCTAAGGTGCACACGGTAAGTAAAACTCTCGGCTCAAAAGTCATAGAATGTAAGCAGTGGATTCGCGATGATAAAAAGAACGGTCATTGGGACTAAATGCATTTTTGTCTTGAAGTACCATTTGGTTATTCAGCCACCCTAGAGGCTGCTCCAATGTTTCACCAGTAGCCAAAAGCTTTCCTCGATGGGAAGGAGGCGGCCGGATGATTTGCTAAAATCGCCTTCCAAGTAGCTCGTTAAGTTAGTCAAATTAGGCGAAAAACCCTTGAATCCCTTGAAAAATGTTTGTTTTGAGATTCAGATAACTAGTAAGTTTTTATTTTCCGCCGTAAATGATGCCCTTCCGAATGTATTCTCCGGGGACTGAGTGTCCAATCTCTTGAGCAAAAGGGCAATAAATCAATTTGATTGACCGACCGTCAGAAGACAGCGCATTTTTCACTTCCGGATTTGGATAGCAGTACCGTTAGGTTCAATAACTGGTGCAATAAATGCACAGGAGACATGACCAATCAGGCTAATTTTAGCTTCTAAACGCCGTTCCACTTGGCAAGCATTAAATTCTGCACTCATATTCGGTCAGTGCTCCGTGATTGTGAATGAAGTTTATGTCCTGGGGTAGTATGGGAGAAAACCCAATACATTTTCCGGTCCGTTTTACAAATTCTGGTGATTTTATCCTTCAATCCATGAGTATGTCTCAGAGGAATGGGACAAAATGACATCCTCAGGGGTCGCTCATTGGTGTGATCAGAGTGGGAAGGATTGACATGTATCACACCACACCAGTTATCAAACGTCATGTTTGTAAGTGTGGTTACCTATCTGTCGTCAGTAACGGTAATAGGAATATTGATCTCTTCGTCATACTGATAATAATATTGTTGCAGATAAAATCATGCTGCAAGTGAAGATATCCCTCGCCTAAGACTGAAGCACAATATCCTACAGTTTCTGGTAATCTGCTGTGCTAGACTGTTCGCGAAGAAATCACGACGGGAACGTTTTGATCAAATGACCTAGTAATGTAACCGATAATCTGGATCGGGTCAGGTTTGATATGACGCAAATGCCTTTCTTTCTAAGGTACACATATGCCCCGATTTCCACGGCCCAAACGAAGATTTCACTTTGACCGAAACTCATTAAGTGGTTAGTGACGAAATTTCGTGACTGTTCACAGCAGTAAAATGATTGGCTGAATTGGCCACAGCTGATAAGGCCAAGTGGAATACAAGATAAATAACAAAAACATTGGAAAACTAGGTGATTGCATCACCATAATACAGAGCTAAACACGGTCAAGGGGGGCGCTTGATTAAGGAGTGTCAACAGCGAATTAAAGAGGCTACTCAGAACTGGATGAAGCTCAATCTAGGATCTTTGCACGAAGTGAACTTTTAATTTTAGAAAAATACTAGCTGCAGCTCAATGCTACCGTAGAGATAACCCAGACCTTGTTTTCCACCAATCAGGAAAGACAAATAGCGAGAGGTTTTGCGCCTGAATAGTGGGTGTTTACTTAATTGAGACCGACTTACCATCAAGAATATTAGCCATATATGTCTGTAGATGATCCACACGATGTCTAACAACGCGTAGAATCTGACGCCATAGGCACCAGCGGTTGTCCACCGCACACAAATCTACCAACAGACCTTGGTGAGAAGTGGCCCAGTCTCGACGGAAATCAGCAGCGTGGTGATAAGCATTAATTTTAAACGAAAGTTCTTCTGCCGTGTTTGACTCTGGGAGGGGACGCTGGAATCCCTGTTCTAGTCGTATTCTCATTTGAGGTTCTTGTTCGTCTTCTACTGCTGTCGGAATATCAGCTGGCTCTTTGACGGTCTCCCTAATTCCCCGCAATATTAAATCTTGTCTACAAAACAAGGGAAAAAGAACTGTCATAACATCTCCTTATGGCTTACTCAATGCCAAAGGACACAGCAATGGAAAAACCCTAGGCAACTCGAGAATAAATTCCAAAACTTGAGGGGTCATATATAAAAGGAATATGAAGTAGTGCTTATTGTTGCATACGGGTGATTTCCTCTCAAATGGTGACGAAATGCTCTCAAGTCATTCGCGATTAATTGCTTTGTCGTCTAAATGCGGGGAGTTTTCGGATAGCATTTGACTGACCTTCGGAAAACAACTCACCCGATTATCTTATCTGTTCAATTCGAGCGCCAATGTATCAAGTCAAGGAAAGTCACTATTTTCGTAAAGGAAACTACTCACGAGATTGCTGGAAACTCTCCGACAACCCGCGACAGGTTTCGCCCTTCTTAGGGCTCATCGAGTAGGCACAGTCCCCGAGTTTCTGTCAACTTTATGTCATACTTGAACCTAAATTGGTCTGTTTTCGAAGAATACACTCATTTGCAAATCAATTTGGTTTTCAAGAGAGACTCAACTGGCTCGGGGACTGCGCCTACCTGATGAACCCCAAGAAGAGCGAAACCGGTCGTGCGCTGTCGAAGAGTTTTCAGCAACTTTGTGAGTAGTTTCCTTTATAAAAACATACTGCAATATCTTAAATATCGTGCCAACTGAAACATAAGGCGTCCTGTGTGCGGCACGTTTAGTTGTAGAGTAGCATAAACGAGAGTTTCAGTTGAGTCTCTCGTGAAAACTAAATTGATTTGCAAATGAGTGTATTTCTCGAAGAAAGTCACTTTTTCATTATCACTGGTCCAATAACCAGGAAGTAGGGCTTTCTTTGTCAGAAAACAGTATTCACCAGCAGAAAGGACCGATCATGAGCAAATATTCTCCGTATACAAATAGCTCATTCGATGGAGATTTAATCTGGACAAGATCAGTTTCGGGAACTGCACTCGAGGGCTATGAGTAAAACCGGTGATTCACTATGTGCCAGTCGATGAATAGAGGTTCGTTCCAAATCAATGGGTAGCCGACTATATGAAATATGACTGGAACAATGTCAGTAGAAAAATCCGAGGGTCATTATCATCCTAGGACAAATCGTTGGTGTAAACGGGTTAGTCGGTCTGCTCACCTCTCAGCTTCAGTTGCGCTAGTTAGTTCCACCATCAGACATGGACGTATGCCACAAGTGTACAGTGACTGGCACTGTTCCACGGTCGAGGGATATCCGTCTAAAATATACCTGACGGCAGAAAATGGTGACAGAATTGTGAGGTGTTGAATAAGTAAACGGTAAAATAAACAAGTAAATCCCACTAAATTTCATTCGGTTCTTCTTAGAACTATTGCTAGTAGAGTGTTCATAAGAATGATCACATTCTTAACCGGTTTCGCTCAACAAACTTTCGATGGGTTTGATATAACCAAACCATTCATTTTTTGACTCAAGCGTATTTAAAAAATTGACTACGGCAATCCGGTGATCTGAAGTGAAGTTGAAGTGAAATGTGCACTCTACGGTAGTTTGTAGACCAGAGCTAACTGTGTTTTCATGGTCAAAACCTTTCAGTTAATCTGGAATTTAAGGTCTGTTGGCCCCCGCACTTATTTTCGCTAATGCGATGAATGCATGTGCCTAGTGTGTGTTCAACATGAGGAAACATGTAGTGTATTGTGTGATTGGGCAATCAGGTTACCTAGAAAAACTGCTCATGCATTTGTGCAAATAGGCTTAGACTGCGACTGTGTAGGTAATAGCTGCAGGTATTTTCAGAAGCTATCTGTTGAACCCTGCAAGTCGGATACTCTCAAAGTGACTAAAAAGGGTGACAGCGTCTTACACTCGGTTGATAACATCGGTACCCTGTTTACAGAGCTCACCAGAGAGGTCGACCGCCTCCAACGGATGTAAACCTTTGAAACATGGAATACTGATCGGGTGAAAAGTGGGTGGTCGTGCACAAAAAAAACAGCCTGTTTACAGGAAAATGCACCGCGTTTGAGATTTAGGGTGTCCGAAGCTAGCCAGTCGTTCAAATCAGCATTTGCACCCACTGATCTACAGAATTTCACACAGAACCATAATGAATCCTAGAGAGTGGACGCATCAGAATAATTACGCGAGTGGATGAAGTGAGGTGCTCAAACGGGAATGATTTGAATGCCGATTCTAATAATGTCGCAATCATTTACACCCATGGATTGTTAATAGTCCCCAGTGTACCAGTATAACGATGACACTACTGATGGGGGGCATGCGAGTAGTATGTTTTATTGTAAATTCTCGTTGCGTCTCTTGAAAAGGGGGATCTATTGCGGAATTTGTGGAGTCACTTTGTAGCATTTGTTTGGATTTGAGCAACAGTNAGTATTCAGGAAAGTTCAGGAAAACGCTTTCAAAGAGAAGATGGATATTCAGTTTTTGCAAACGAAATGCATATGAGCGTTTTGCTTCCCTGTCCAATAGTCCGTAACTGTTCAGCTGACATTTTCTAATAAGTAACTCCGCAGCGAAGGCCTTCCTCCTTTCACCAGTACCTTGTGAATCAGCACCGACACAATTCCACATGGTAGTCCTGCGTCTTCTCAATAGACAGGAGGGCTTTTAAATCAAAACTTTCAACTACCAAACATAAAACTCCTGGAACTGATATGATCAGTGTTTTTTATGCCTAGACTATGCAAATAAGTCGATTCTTCGTGCACATCAGACTCTGTGGATCCAACTGTTATTCGGTCAATCAATAAGTCACAAAGTTATCGTTCTGTCTTGCCCACGTGATCTCATCTACTGTCCTGATGAGTAAAAATAAAACAAAAATATCTAGCAGATCCTTTTAGGGTTCTATCGAAGAGGTTACTTCTTCATAGACGGGTTGGGGGCTAATACAAAACCTTTTGGCATATGTTATGATAGGCTATTACTTCCTAGAGACTACTGTGAGTAACAAGTGATACACAATTAGTGAGGAAATGCGTTAAGAAACTAGGATGAAAAAATTTTCTCCCCGATCAGAGGGAAAATTCACGTGGAGATTCTGTCAGTTGTACTTGGGCGACTTACCCCCGGGTGGAGTAAATTGAATTTCTGGTCAAGGACTGTATGACGCTTGCAACTAATATGTCGGGTACTGTCTTCCCTTCACTCATATAAAGTCGAATGTTCTCAGCCACAGCGGTAAAAGCGTGACTCGGATCCGTCAAGTACCAACGTATCGCTTCAGTCACCGTGATTATGGGCACATTATATTCTTGACACAATCTTTTGGCGACTGAAAAAACGGTGGACACAAAAACGAACAGTCTTAGGCCTCCAGATAAGCAAATAAAAAAAATCGGTTTATCGGTAGTTTATGGTCTTCAGTTTGTCTCATCCCGCGACCGGCTGGTAAAGTCACCTTGGTAAAAGACAAATTCTCGAATGGTGACCGCTACTTTACAGTAATGGTGGCATAGATTGGTGGCGTTGATTGACGTAGTCACTCAAAATCCAAGTTTCGCTGGAGAACATATAATGCGAGAAGGAAGATAAACAGCAGTTAAGGGAACTACTGTTGCTGCCAGGACCATTAAAGCAACATTTAGATTAGCAAAACCTACAGCCTCAATAAAGTTACATAAGAAAATAGTAGGTCATTGGAACGTGTATTCCGGCATATCACGAAAGTGATTCAGCTATGCGGAACGCTTACGTCATTCTTCGATTAAATAGCAGTAGGAAGAGTGAAATCAAACAGTAGCCAGCTCTTCTAACTAGTGGCACCGTTTGAGCGGTATTCATAAAAATGGTTGTGTGGCGTCGATTCTTTGGTTTTGCCCCACATTCGTTCAGCTGAAATGATTCCTGTTGCAAGGTTTTTCTCAGAATTTCTATTTTGGGGTGCCAGTCACCATCATCATCATTGACAGCATGACATCAGTGTTCAACACCGATGGTTCACTGCCATACAACCATGATTTATTTGAAGAAAAGAGTGAAGGTGGACTGGGAAGGGACTTAGTGCTAGCTTACCACAATCATTCCGAGGTGCCTACACTTCCAGACATTCACTCAGACAATCTGGATAGAAACTGACAACAAGAACGCCATTGAAATCGGTTGGCAGCCACACCCTGTAGTGTCTCCAACCAGGCACAGTGAGGATCACGCGGTCCTCATCCTGGAAGGCGAGTAGCACCGACAGCACCCAGCGTTAATGAATTTCTTCTATGTTGCGAATTGTGGAAGTACTAGAGACAGCTGGTGGTACACCGTATCTTTTCTTGTAATCAGTAGTACCGGGAAAGGTTTTACCTATATTCATTTCCATCAAGAGGATTTCTGAAAATGTTTGCGTTTTGGTAATTAAAGAATCGTAATTGCACAGCATTTGCGAAGTTCGTTTGTCGGCCATTCCTTCTTATTACGGGCAGTGATGATGTATCCACTCATGATGAGGAAACGTTCGCCAGCCATTTGCGGAGCTTCGAAAGCAGATCAACCTAAAGCTGGTCAGTAGGCAATTGTCTAAATCTGTTTTGTGTCTCATGTTCAGTGAGTATCCCACTTATTGCTGACTCTTCCATTAGAGCTCGGTTTCGTCTGCGCTCCGCAGCGGTCTGTCCATTCTTTTCTGTTTGCTGCATCTCCTAAGAAGTTCTATTTCCATCTGTCCAAGTTAGACCCTATTGTAGGTGTTGAATTTGATTTTATAAATACACTTCCTGTTTTCACCCACAGAGAGGTAATCAGTCAGTTGAACCAGTGCAAAGCGATCCGTACCGCCCTGAATAAGCAATAGTATGTTATTCGTGTGTGGGATCCTTTAGATAACGTCAGATACTCCTGCTTTACAGTAGAAAAAAAACAGTCCCGATATATTTCCTAACCGACTTACAGGTGCCACAGATATGCATTAACAAACTACTTGGATATCCCTTATCTTGAAGTTTCCTCCATTTCAGCTTGAGCTGCTATCCGATCAGCGTCTTCTGTGCACGGTGTCCTTACTTATCTGGAGTTTGTATAAAGAATACCATCTTACAATGGGTGGATGAATGGACCCGCAACGCCTTAATGTTAGTGAGTATCTGGTACAGTGTAATTTCCCATCTTCCACGAACATCCTACGTCATACAGTCGAAGAAGTGCGGTGTATTCGAATTTGACTGTATCTTCATGTTGAATTTGAAATCCGGGTTTAAGTTACAGAGCAATTTGAAAAATTAATCAGTCTTTCCTAGTTTAGTTACGACACAATTTTCACCCATGTAATACCAGAATATTTCAAGCTGATACGGGTGAATCCAACCGAATCCTTCTGTTCCGAATCTTCCATAAAGTTGTTGTCGAAAACCGGGGATGTTGTAGATCACATTGTTGGGCCTTGTTTTTGAGCGTAAATTACGAAGTCAAAAATAAATGACTAATGCTCAGGGGTGGCAATAAGGCCCACACTATTTCATCTAGAGTAACCTGTATCTGTTTCAAAAGTGTGATTTCAGCCAGAGACACCTGCTTGGCTTCTTTTATAGGTATCTTTCCCACAATACCCTATATGATCAGCTGGCATCGAAACTAACAGGTGTCACCTGGTCCCACGGAGAGGCCCACAAATTTGAAAGAAAAGTCGTATCAGTTCTTAAAATTCGTCCGATTTTAAAATAATTTTTTTAAATTACCTGCGAAAAATCCTACTAACTCGGAGGGGGGAGTGCATAAACCTTTCCGCTTGCCAGTGTTTTCATGTAGGCATCTACTCTGTGAACTTTTGGAGGGCCGTAACAGGCGTATTGTGAAGAGAAGAATAAAAGCGGATGAAGAATGGCTTAGTGCTAGCCCATCGAAATCATTCCGAGGTGACCCCACTCATTCGGACAATTAATGGCCATATCCTGCGGCATCTCCTACCAGGCGCACTGGGTATCACCTGGTACCCATTCTGGAAGGTGAGTCACACCCGTAACGCCCAGACTTTTCACTGTACCTGTCATACCCCTCTGCCAGGTCAAGGGTTTGCCACCTCCCTTCTTGCGTCACCCTGAATCGGGTTGGACAAACAGCACCCTCTTCGGAAACGGCAGTACATGACCTAACCAAGACAGCTTCTGGTGCTAGAAGCATTCTTTGATGGAATTGCCTATTACACATCCAAACACCCGAATTCTAATAGTCTTGTTGAGGATTCGCCGACACCAGACTACATCTGCTACGGTTCTAATACAACGGTGGTCGAAGACCTAAAAACGTCTCATTTCCGGTGCTCGAAGCGAACACGTTTCACAGCCACACAGCAAAACGGCCCACACTGTAGCCCGGCACACAAGTCCCTTGAAATTCAACAATATGCCGCTTCAACACCACAGGTGACAAATTGAGAAAGCGACTCGAACCTTAGGGATTCATGCACTGAACTCATCTGTCAAACTACTCTCCAAACCAATGCAACTTCAAACTTTTGTGGACACATTGTCCTTTAGTCGATTAAGAAGCCATCTCAAAAAAGTTTGGTAACTAATCAGCGGATTTATAGCTAGTATTCCACTCGTTTTGCTTGACAAAGCTTTTGTGGCAAATGCGAAATGTTGCACAGCTGTGAATCTACCGATCTACTATCCCCCATCTACAGACTCACCCATAAACACAAGTTTGTTCAGGCTATGGAGTTACAAAATCAACAATACCGACGGACTTACGCGTTGTCTTTCCCGTTTTAGGTGCACCAACGATTGCCATCCGCAAAGGAATATGGATGGGAGGATCTGGCGTTCCTCGAACGAATTTCAGAGGGTTCTTCATGAACACTGTCCGTGCTGCTTGATTCGCAAACCAGTAAATATTTTCTTTATAGATAGCGCAACAGGTGTTTGGTTTGGAAACGGGCAGTGTAACGCCAGGTAGGCCAGGAAGAGCGGGAAGGTACTTTGGGTTCCCAGTCTTCATCAATGGTACCATCAGCGGAGGCAACAGTGCGTTGTGCAGAAGCAAGGTAACTGGACACCATCGACCGAAACGACTTGGGAACCGGTATCCATTTGTGATCAAACGTTCAGCAACTTTAGGTGACACCGGGTAGACACGTTCAAACAAGGAACAGCGGTTTTCTATAAACGCATTGATGCGCTGTCATTAAAATAAGAATGGTTTTGTCAGACCAAGTGGCTAAACAGCGCTTTTTCTTAGATGAAATACCAAGAGTAAAAATTACCAAGACGGAGGCCCAAAGAAGATTTTCAAAGCATTCTAACCGGATCATCCGAGTATAATTATGCTTGGTCATTCGGGCTATACCTGTGCTTGGTTAGGTGGGGATGATTAACTGATATGAGGTGGGTTTTGGTGAATGGTACGGAGTTCGGTACATCAGGAAGGACGATTTGATCACCACAGCATGGTTTACAATTTTCGTAAAATTCTGTCGACGTCTTTGAATGCGATATGTTTAGAAGCATTTATGGATTTGCGTTTAAGGTGTTCAAAACGTACGCGTGAAGCAAGCCCATGTAACACGATCTGTCTGGAAAGGTGTCATAAACACTAAGAAATATTTATGGGAGCCATATGCTAAATGGTTGTGCACTGCAGGGTCCATTCAACAGACCATTGCAACCTACTCTACAAGGTCTGATGCAGTGGGATAAATTGGAATGTCTCTTGAGTTTGACTGGGTTGCGATGCAACAATCTTCGCAGCCTGCAAGCACCAGCAAGCATAGCCGACTTGAATCGGCAAAATGCTCGATATGTCGGTTCCAGTGCAAGTAAGTAAAAACCCGCCAAAATGAAAGACATTTCAAGGCAGTGATACTTGCAGTAAATAGGCCTGATATTTTGGGATGTCACGTGTGGATTGCAGAACGATATTCTTGTATGTTTTATAAAGACTGTAACGCTAACTTGTGTATTTCATTCTAATGTTATCTAAATTTGCCATAAACAGATTGTAATCTGCTTATCTGATGGATCAGTCCAATAATTCTCCAAGAGTACTTCAAATTGGACAACCTAGATTGTTCCATCATGTGTGAGTTCCGTTTGTGGGACAGTCGGACATGCTGGGCGAATTTTCTGACTGAAAATGTTTATAAAGTCCTTGAGTTTTGGAAGACTGAACGAGAGCGGCAAACAAGTGACATGTTAATTTAATATAGTGAAAGAATCAGCGACAAACTGACAGCAAAGCCTTCCGTGGTCTAAGGCTCATCAGCGAAGTTGTACGTTTCCTAGGAAGGTCGTTATAAGTGAGTAGTTAGGTTTCCCTAGGATTTCATCGCATGAGCGGGTTAAGTATGCCGACGTATATTCGCCACACGTGCAAGGGTGATAAGGATTTGCGTTGTGTTGCGCACATATCAATGAAGAACTGTGATCGGTACTATCACGTTCATCTGAGGAGCTAGAATCTGGATTAAAATATAAAATTATTGCCCTCCAGGTATGACTGGATACCGTCTACGCAATTTTCACCTCCAAGTGCAAATTGATGGCACGGACTGAATCAGTTTATCATTTTGATTTTGTCCAGTTTTATTTTGCCCAACCAAACAGAATCTTTAAAATCAAGTGGGCTGTTCAATTGACGACCATCAAGTTTCTTCAGGGAGAAAACGCATACTGAATTTAGTATTGGCTGGTACAAACAGATATATTATACTGGGACTTCTAGACAAACTTTTGGGTCATGCATAATTGGAAAGATGATTTATCATCAGCTGAAAGATGAAGGCTGAACTCGAATGGACTAAAAGGCCCATGATTAGGTAGCTTAGGNGGAAGAGCATTGTTCTAGTTTTTGGAATTTGGTAGTTTATGAGATAGTTCGGGATATCGATAAATATGGATGCTTGTGAAGTATTGTGGAACTGCGCACCGCAGTGCACCGAACTAAAAGAAGCAAAGATTGTTACTCTGTGCAAGTTGCAGAACTTTATTCCTGAGCCATCGCTGATAACCTGTCTGGGAAACTACAATGGGCATACCAGGGTGAATTTGTTTAATTCCTAAAAATCTATTCACTTGAATCGATTGCGATTCCGCGAAAAGCCAACGTTGGGACAGCCCGGCACCGAACATTGCCTCCAGATTTTCCTTTGAGCTGTAAACTAACGAGTGCTCACATATGAACATTGTAACGGGGGTTCCTTCTCACACAATGAAGAGTTTATTTTATGTAGGAGCTCATTGTTATACCATCGTATTCTGAGCGGTTGGTTGAAGCGTACATCAGTCACAACATTTTCAGGGAAAACCACTTCTGACTGCCTTCAGACAACTGTGGCTTACCAGCTTCGCACAAGTATGTTGCAGGACAACCGAGGACAACCGTACAGCTAATACACGTGAATCCAAGAATTGACTTTAGACTCCGTCTTAACTGTGATACTTCTGACCTCCTGCAAACAAATTCCGCTGACCAGCAGATGACAGAACAATCATCCAGAGGCAAGTTCATTCTAACGAATACGAGTATGTTCTCAATCAGCCGAGTATATAGGTCACACCACAAGACCGACCGCCAAGAGTATATCAGAACATCAGCCAGTTTGAAGATTGAAAAAGAGCACATCAATTTATTCGCCCCTGGTGGCGTCGGGTTTGATGCGTCAATAGAAACCTCAAAGTTGCAAACAGATGGTGCTGCTTCGGTTCATGACGCTGCTCACTTAATACTACAGTGTTTCATTACAGCTTCGACAGTGCGCAGCTTTGGTTGTTCTAGCCATATCTATACGTTGGAAAGGCCACACGATCGTGCTGCATAAAAATGGCGAATAAGGGAGGTTACTTGCGAAGTACCCAGATTTTCTTGTTGAAGGAAAACACTGTACGGCCACTAGATCTTTTGATTTGAAGACGGTAATCCTAATTCAGGACACACATGGTGTAAATTACTATACGCTTGCGATCCTTTGAGAGCGTGTTTGAAGAATCCAAAGTTTTGACTGTGTTGGGAGGAAAAACCGGACAAAAACGTTTTATCTCACGAATAACGTATAATAATAAGCAATTTTTGAAAACCAAAACCGTCATTGGATCTTACTTTGACCAACCGATACCGTGCCCAGGTAACTTTACCACCAGATTCGATTTCGAATTTCGGAATAGAAAGCTCGTCCAGCTGTTCAAGCAATTCCGCCAGATTATCGGATTTCTCTTCGTATCGCTCCGAAATCTCATCACGCAGCCGGTCGATCGTATCAGCTTCTGTTTCCTCTTCTTCCGCATTCATTTCCTCTCCCTGTTCCTTTGTAAAATAAAACCACATTGTGAGTTTTACTCAAAGTTTTGAGTCAAAATTCACCTGCGATTAGATTTTGAGGGACATCGGCTTTTTAAGTCTGTGTCCGTATCTGCACAAAGTTAGCTTAGAAAAACCGCCTAGGCGACAACTCAGTTTGTCGGTCTCATCTTTGTACCTAAAACTTCAGACTCAATACAATCCGATTGTAAGTTGATATTCAGGGATTTCAATGTGAACTATTGTAATTAAAAAAAACTCAAATCAGAACCTTTCGTGGCCACAAAACAACGTCTGAAGTTGCCAAAGAGTGGGCAGCTACTTCAATTAGATGTGAGACGCGAGATAAGAAAACAACTTTCCGCACATTCTGTTTGAGTTTGCAGTTGGAAAAATTCATTGAAAAATACATCTGGAACGCAATAATTTGTAGGCAAATAAAGTGCCGAACGGGAAACGTGTGAAATGAGGGAACAGGCATAGGCACAACGGGGAGCGTTTGTGGGTAGAGAAACTTCCTAGAGGTTCGACGGCTGTGTTCGGATTACCTGTATGGAGTGACTTCCAAAATGTAGCTTTATGTGACATTCTGCCTGCAATGAGTGCAGAAAAAGGCTAGTAGTAGCGGCCGATTTTTGGCTTATCCAAAGATTGGTTATATGTTTGTTGTGGGCTGCTTCTTGAAGACAAATTTACAGCTATGCGTAGGAACATGTTGAGACCTAATCCTGGAGAGGTTGTCCCGTTTGGCCTACGAAGGAGTACGCTCCTTTAGAAATCATTTTGGTGTTATAAATAACTGAAATTTTTTGAACTCATAGTTGGTGATAAAAGGTGCAAGGAAAGATTGTTTCAGTTTGAGCATCCGATCAGCTCGAGTCCATCCGATAAAAACGAGTTGATAAAACAGAACGAACACACCGTCATCGGAGGAAAAAAGCATATGTATCGAGCGAGCTCAGTAAATGTTGCGCGAGCGTTTCCAAATCAGCTTGAGACATACAGACTACGTTACAAGAACACTAATGATATGTAGCTTTTCTACAGTGTGGTCGGTCTCCTGAAGAGATAAGTTAAACAAAACATACTAATGAGTACCATATGGCCATAGAAGTAATTAAAGATCCCGGGGTGTACTATTTCCCTGAACCTTATCTAAACACACACATTTCGTGGATTATCAGTTTTTTTACAACAAATCTGTAGGAACTTTTTCAAGCCTGTAAAGTCTAGTAAGTCAACAGACTGATGGCTCGAATGAGGACGTCCATGGTGCTGCATTCACAGTAAAATCAATTTTGCGTATTCGTTCCCCTGGCTGACACTTGGTTGAAACTCATGAAGTTTCAAGTAAGATATCCGGTTGCCAACTTTCATTGATGTGCCCACTGTTGCGTTGACATATTGGAAATTTTGTGATAGACCTTCAAAAGCCACAAGGTTGGTTTTATTGGGTTCATTACGTATAAACGTGTTTTGCTTTCTTAGAAGTTACCATGGCGCTAACATGCACAGAAACAGGTGAATCGCTTGACGTTGTTAACTGGAGTTACGCAACAGGTATGTGGGGATTGACTGCTTAAAACCAAGCCGTTTTCAATATGGGTGACGGTACAACAATTATATAGGTAAATCGTTCAGCTGCTCAGTTGCCATGTGACCCAAAAGAAGCTACTTTGCCTAAGGCCAGAGGGCATCAGGCATGATGACTGGGTTGGGTTCGGAAAAAAAACAGTATTCTGGCCAGTGAATCCGTGCCTTGAATTGTTTCATCTCAAGCCCAGCAATAGTATATGATAATATATTAATAATACACAAAATAAGTGATTTATCCTGATAATGACAAGTCCTGTGGGGCGGATCGCACACGCAAGATGAATTATGCTCTTGACGCAGAGCAATACAATCGAATTCGTAAATTTTCCAGTTTTCAGCGCAAAAAGAAAGCTATTCAATCACACCGACTAAGTCTACATTGAATAAATTTGTATTTTCCTAACCTAAAAAGGGACTTCCATTACCTCGTCTTCATTCGCCAAGAGTTCATCGATGTCAACTTCGTCATCCAGTTGTTCTTCCTCATCTTCTCCAGTTAAGGCAGCCCTGCCAGACTAAATTGAGATACATAAACGCGCCACTACAGTACAATAATCAATAAACACAGTTACATAGTATCCTCATCACCACCGGCTCACAAAATCGTAGAAAGTTAGTTAAGCAACAGTTTGTCAGGCCAGGTAAAACGCTGTTTTAGATATCTAAACAAGGATTTACTCACCACCTGTCAACCTCAGTTCGTGAGTTTCTACAATGTGTATAGTGCACTTATGTGTATACTTATATGAACACGCACGTATGAACATGCCTCTACTACACATTCATTCCACTGAAAAACAAGCATAAATACGTGAGATACAGCAGTGAAACAAACACTCTTTAGACGCTAGCTGCTGAAATGTATCTGGATAAGTTCCTCAGGCTGATTTTTGCGTACCTGAGGACGGTTTGATCATTCTTTACAGGCATCCATTATTGAGGAACGTTGATCGCAATTTGATGGAAACCCGAAAGAAGATGCTGATCTCACTTCATGCCAGTACATTCCAAGTAAGTGCTTCGGTGCTAAAGGTTTCGAGAATGTTTAACGGCGCGAAATAGCTTACTTGGTTACCAAAAAAATTAATCAGTAGATAATGGCGGAGATCCGTGTATATCAAACAATCCTCAGTCAATATTTTAATAACTATCAGACCTAAATAAATTGATCTTTTTCATGCACTTCTAAGCACCTAATCCACTTAGTTTTCAAAAGAATTGGATAGAACTAAGGCGCTGTTCTTTAAATGAATGACTCCCAAAAGAGAATCTTTCCAAGAAGAGTGCATGAGTGCTCAATATCGATATCACTCCACGCCAGATGCTTCCACCCGGGTTGAAAACCTGTCCCATTCATGTGACCTACCATAATAAACAAATTTCAGTGATGATTTTCCACTTGAAAATCAGTGCTTTTTTTGTATGATACTACCGAAAAACGCTTAGGTAAAACCTTAAATCACCGACTTGGGACAAGAAACAGCAAATAAACTCAAAGAACCACTGCGACATCCAGAATGTAACGTGTAAAGATCATAGATATGCTTTTTTTGCAGCAAAATTAGTTGTAAAACTGAAGTTTAGCTGAGATAGAATATGCTACAGGTGTGTAACACAAAACGGCTACCTGGTTCGGAATGCCTATACTGTCTACAATGTCACATTTCAACGGCCGAACTCACCCGCGCATTTTTACGCCTCTCTTGCAATTGGGCTAAAATTTCTATTCTCCTTTTCTCACGTGTGATTTCCTGAAACACAAGGATACGCAGTGAGGGGATGATGGTTTTGTAGTTCCATAACTAACTTGTATGAAGACAATCCTATTGTACTGGTGTAAGTTAGTGTTGGAAAGAGGCCATGCGTGATTTGTTAGCGGGCGTATCTCCACGTTTCGTGTATCAGTGTGTAACGGAAACAGTCTTTGTATTCAGGTCTACTCATTAGGAAAGCAGGGCAGATATCTAGGGGTTACTCCTCTAACAAAACTCTGCCAAAGGTCACTGAATAGAACGTTAAAGTTGATTTTGGCTCAATATTTTACTATCGAGTTTTCCGTCTACTCTTCGGAACCCGTATGGAAACCTCACCTGATAGGTCACTGAACACGCAAATAGCATAAAACAACAGCTCTACTCCCACATACACAAATCCATCTACAAATTTGATTCTAATGGGAGACTCATCTGTAGTAGAGCTGAGTTCCTCGTTCATGATTTTCTTACTCAAATGAATGTGCAGATGAGTACATCATTCAAATTTTTATGCTATGTGGGTATAAGTAGAACACAAGTTGACGGAAACTCGTGGACTGCGCCTACCTGATGAGTCACAAGAACGGTGAAACCGTTCGTGGGCTATCATAGAGTTTTCACCAACTTTATAAGTAGTATATTAGGTCTACTCCCTCTTTTCTGTATGGTAACGGTTGTCTATCTAGTGCACTAGTGCACAGCGAACGTTGAAATCCGCTATTGTAGGACTGAGTGTTTTCTCGTCTAATTCGATCCCAAAATAGTTTGGAGATTAGGCTGTGTCGATGCCTTAATCTCTTAATTCACTCTTGATCATTCAGCCAATTTTTCAATATAGAGGTAGAAGGTTGTTCTGCCTTATAGCTACGCATGAAACCGATAGCTAGCCGGAGGGCTTGATTTAATTGACAGCATAATTACTGGTAGTCCGTTTGTTCGCCTTCGACGCTATCTGACCTTTCGTCAACGCAACAGGGTATACGTGATCCTGGTAGCCAGTTCACATATTGTAAACCACTCTGAACCAAAAGTTTTCGAGAGCGAGCAAAATTAAATCACGCGCTGGCTGTTCACTCCTAACTTCGTAATAGCCCAAAGACTTTTATATAGTGTCTCTATAATACGGGTACAAAACTCATGCACGGTGGTCTGAATGTTTCCTGTTTTATGGTAGTTATAAACTGGAAACCGAGGAGCCAATATGAAAACCGTACATCCACCGGCTTTGACCTTCTTGCAGCTGTGTTTAGCCACTTAGGTGCAGTAATTGTTTCAGGTTTTTCAAACGACAAATCCTCGATTCGCATATCAGTATTGTCCGGCTATTCTAAAGTGTAAGAGCGCTTAGTTGCGCGTAGGCATTCGGTTGTTATATGGATGGTCGGTGGATATAATCCACGCAGATTTTTAGAATCGCTGCAGAGCAGCAGACTGAAAATAACCTGTTCCAACCTAGGTTTGGTTTGGACCACGAACTCCCCGGTCTGTAAGTTTGCGCCTCAGCCTACTCCATATTCTGGTCAGTAGGTACATTTCTATTGTCTCAACCAATCTGCTTTTGGCATACTAGGTCCACTGGTCTGAGAAAAGGCACGACTCCTTGCTTCTAAATTTCGGAGAAAGGGGCAAACGTGGAACTAAAGGAAACTGGAAGATGTTCATCATAGGTTGAAGTAGGGTGAGTAGTAGGTTCCAATCTGTTGGATAGCGATGCACGATAGAAGGCTAAAGAGACCCACCAGCATTAGGGAGTATTCACAAGTATGTCACAGCCGAGCTGAGATTGCTTGGCGGCCTCGATATCAACGTCCGATGCATTACTTAATGACTAGCTGATTTGTGGGCCACATTAGAATTTGAAGTGTGGGTGTGTGCTGTAGGTTAGTGTTCCCAAATTGTACAGAACCTGATAAAACTCTTTAAAATTAATATTTGAACCTGCAAAAAGAAAACCAAGCTGGTTGGCTAGCCCAAAATTTCAACAAATGAAATGATTGCTTTCACAGTGTTTTGGGGTAAAGTGGAATCCCTTATATAATCTTCATTATACCTATCTGAATTCAAGTTTTGCCCATAAACACCTGCAACTTCGCATCACAAGATTTTGCGCCCTGTGGAACGTTATATTAGAATTTCGGACTTCCTGACAATGGCTGTATAGAAGTGGGGCAAACTGCTTTTGCGTCCTCACATAAGCACAGAAGGATGTAAAATCTCTCTTGAGGGATGGATTTCCAAATACACTCGGGACTGACGCAGGCTATGGATTGCTAAAGCTAAAATATGGTTCCGAAAATTAGTAAAAAACAATCCGCTAAATGACAAGGAAGTCAATGAGAGATAACCAATATGGCGTTTACCCTCATTTGTACAAAAACGTCGTTCGCATTCGTGCAATCTGTGGCATCGACCAAGTTGAGTTGCATTTGAAAACACCAGTCAACCAATCTGCGGTCAGGTTCATCAACAAACCACAATAAACAACCTGCAGTTTCAGGAGGATGTACACCAACATAGGTTTTGATGAGCCCCGTTGGAAAGAACATGGAATGATGGTTCTTTGTTTGAAAATATAGTCATTTTTGAACCTCGATGTTATAATTTCTTGGGTAAACTGTTGGGAAATTGAAGGTTGATTCTTCTATACGAGAATACGTGGACTAAGAAGCACTTGAGACATTGGTTTTCAAACTTGGATGTAAATAATTTATTTACTTGTTTTTCAAGACGTTGGTAAACCATGTTAAATACATCACATCATCGTTTGTCTATTCGAAGCGTAAAGTCATGCCCGGAGCATTCGCTGGCTTCACAGACGCTTGTCAGAGGGTGACTACGCGCAGTTTGCGAAATTTCTTTTTTATGTGATTTCGGCCCGGAAAGTTGTATCGAAATTTACCAGTTGCCGATTGAGCTATACTAAACCGGCAGAGAAGTTTGTGATAAAATACGTTGGAATACTTTTAAAGGATGCATTTAAATTCTTCAAACGGGTACGGTGATTCACCTTGAGTTGAGTGTGCAGATCTTGAAAACGCTGTCTCATGATTATATATATATATATATATATNTATATATATATATATATATATATATATATAGTTAGGCTTTACTTCTTACCTTCTTTCGGGCTTTCCATGCTTTAAGCTCTGCTGCATTAGCGGCTTTTTTGGCCATGCGCTTCCGCCAGAATTCAAGCCTGACTGGAAGTAGACGACTAATCACCTCACCCACATCTGTGTTTAGAACAACTGCGAAGTCCGGGAAATAATTGGAATCAACCAAAAATTGTAGTTCATCGGCTGACATTGGAAACCCTTCAAGAATGAACCCGGTCGACTTGTACGGTTCCTTAGTCCAGTATTTCCCCAGAATCCATTCCATGGTTTCGGGTGGCAAGGGCGTACCGTTTACCAAGTACTCTACCACATTGCGTTCGTTCTCTGTTAGTTCTTCTTTCACCCCCACGTAACCAATGTTATCGCTGTACTTTTCAGTAGTGGGTCCATCAGCTGAACTTGGGGTCACACCTTCTTCCAAGCTGAAAATATTTACAAAACCTTCATCATTATTCTATTGCGTTACAGATCATTGCATGTGGGTCAATATCGGACCCGGTTTTAACCAAAAGACGTCAATTAACCTATTGATCAGCCGTCTAACCAATTAAAGAATAAAAAAGCAACCCAATCAGCAGAGAAAGCAAGCTCGATCGATGTACACCAAATGTCGGTGGATGACCATACGAGGGGAAATTACTCTAGCTAAATGAATATGGAGGATATGAACGATGGTGACAGGGGGGAACTGCAGAGTGAATCACAGACCAGAGTGGTCTCATTATAACACTACGGCTACCTTTGTCTAGGTAGATTGAAAGAGATACGGCTAGTCTTCCAAATAGATCACCCAGAAGTCAGCTAAACAAGTGTTCTATCGGCTATCTTATCATCATCGTCATCATCGTCATCATCATCACCATCATCATCACCATCATCATCACCATCATCATCATCATTGTCAGCTGTAATAACCGCGTACTTGCCGTACAGTGGTTATGGCTGCCACAGTTTTGTTCACCGATGATTCGGGGGAGTGGGTAGTTAGCTGCGCATTGGAGTCGGGAGCTGATAAATTAGTGCGTAAATACAGCACTGTAGATGGAGTGTTAAGTGGGGGGATCGGAAAGGGAGCAATGCGTTGGAGGCAATAGCTTGGATGCATGAACGTCACTGAGGGTGCGACTGGACCATGTTTTACAATGTATCTAACCATTGATGTGGCTATCTCAACTATGATCATCTAGTTTGATGCCATCCAGACTTAAACAGACCGGCAGTGTTTCAAACATCACGCGTTTTGCGGATTCTCACGCTCACCTACAACCAAGTGGTACCGCGTGCGGTGCATGTTCACCTAGAAGTTTGAATACTGATGCCCTTGATAAGGACATAATCCCCTGTGACTAAACCGCAAACAATAAAAAACACGATTCTGACTCACTCACCGGCCTTTGGAATCCGTACCAATGAGTTTGCTTGGAGCTTCGTCGCTAGGACTTCTGTCCCAGCTTAGTAAGAATATTTGGGAAACCTAAGCTAAGACTAGTTTCCGCAATTGGAAATTATTTGTTATATTTATGCCTTGTACAGAAAGACGGACTAACTTTGTCTCGCGGTTCGTTTGAATCTCATGCCAGAGACAAATGACTGCACAGTCTGTCAGCAAACCCTTCTTACCCATTATAAATTTTCTGCATGAATACCTTCCAAATTAGTCTGAATTTGTACTTTCTGAAGTTTTCTCACACTGACCAAATACTAAAAGGAGTCTTCAGTTTCAGAGGTCATGTTTGGAACAACTGATCAGATCACGCGCGACTCCGTGCACCCCAAAAGCACGGTGTAATAGGACAGCTTTACAAACTATATTTGCTTGGGTCTATGATCCTGGTCTAGCATAATTTAGTTTAGAGTTTAGAAATACTTCCTTCACCAAAAAGTAGTCGATTTTTTGGAATTATTCGTCGTCCATGTATGTATCTTATTACTTTGTCATGAATCACATGTTTTCTGATCGACACTGTTCGACATACCAACGTGATGCTCTCTAGATACACCCCTCGGAACCTACTGTCTTCTAAGCTTACCGCGAGTCTACTCCACAGAAAAACTGTAATCGACGTGTAATGGAGCTAAATCAAAGAAAGAATATTTTTAACGAGTGGGCTTACATTTTGTCACATGGGTGCACAGAAACGCTAGGCACTGCGGTTGTCAAGATTGAATTTCCCCCAGTTTTGCACTGATTCAGTATTGTCAGTTAAAATAACTCCCTTAGCTTGTGAAAGATTAGAGAAGGGCTTACCATTTTTCACTTTCGTTTACCTGTTGTTTACGCTTCGAATTCTCCAACGATTCATTGTATACTTGGGTTAATGGTACCGCCCAAGTGAGCACATAATGAACCAGTGCATACACACCTTAATTTTCTGCTCTATCAATTACTTGTATGGTTTACATTATGACAACACTTTAAGTTATGGACTGATTCACTGACTTCTAGGGTGTTAATTTACAAGTACCATTCTCTTTAAGAGCTGATATGCCGGTGAAAATTGTAAGACTAGAGCAAAACTCACCATTAAACGATCGATTCATTACCAAATCTGGTATAGTAACTTGATACTTTGAAGTCCTTAACATGCTTGACAAATACCAAACAAGACTGGTACCGGGTGTTGATCCAGAGTGAGTGAGGACGAAAACGGAAAGGTGAACAGAAAGGTGTATCGGCTCTCGTGGAGTTTTACAGTGCATACTTCGGGGTTTTTTATCAGAGCATGGAAGTCTCACTGTAGCTTTTATTAGGCTGACACATTGTAGCAGACAACTTTTGTCCTAACATTGGAAATTTCCAATCAGTATTGAACAATATGAAAATTCTCATGAATAGCACTTAGGAAGTCTGAAAGCAGCAGACATGTCTCAGGTCGGCCCCGTTAGGAATCCATTTTTAATGTGTGCATGGAATAGTTTGATGCTAAATTTGAAAATAAAGCAAACCGATGAAGATAAACGACCGGCCTTGCAGAGCTTTTCGTTATTGGTTCGCATATCTGTTGAAGCTTTTTTGGAAATATTGGATGGAGCTTTCATATAACTGCCGATTTCGATTCGAAAGTTCAACGTACCTAATTACAAACTTCGTGTGCCACAGAAAATTTTTTTATTATCAACGGTGCGCGATTAAACAGCTGTATGGTTTTGAACTCAGTCCGCTGTCGCGGTTTTGAACTCAGTTATGTGAGACGGGATCGATGAATATTCGGGTAAAACTGTCTGAATATTCGTATCGATCAGTCAAGAAATAATTACAAGAATTTCGGTATAGGCCACCAGCTTCGCAAACTTGCCGGCGGAAGTGCTGACAGCTATGTAATAGACCGGAACTGTTAAACGAAGTTTCAGTTGTCCTATCCTCCTAAGCCCAGCTGATAAATCTTGATAAAACTAAGACGTTTCGAAGGTCTTGGCTAGTTAGAATTCAACTTCCTCCTTTAACGTGCATGTATGGTTGGATCCAAGTCCTCGACGATCGGTGACTGCTGAGGCAAAACCTGACTACTCATGGGTAGTGAGACGGTTTCTGAATACTCCAGCAGTTGAGTTCGACCAGCAGACAGCAGATAAAACCAGCGAAATACACTCACTTGCAAAAATCATGAAAACAAGAGATTCAACTGGGTTTTAGGTGAATCACTCGCAAAACTAAGTTTGTTTTCCAATGAATGTAGTTCGCTAATTTCGTGCAAGTTGATCTCAAGCAGAACGAAAGGCTGACGAAAACTAGGGGACTGCCCTGCTGATGAGCCCCAAGAAGAGCGAAACCGGTCGTGAGCTGTCGAAGAATTTTCAGCAACCTTATGAGAAGTGTAGTAAGCAGATAAAACCTTTGTCTTCTTCAGTGTTAGAACAGTGGATCAAGTTAAGCACAAACACGATGCTGTTCAGTATTTTCACAGTCTTCAACTCAGCTTCTTCGAAGTTTTTCGTTACACTTTCTACATCCGATGGATGCGTGGTTATTACATTTGCTTATGTTGGCCCACCCAGTTTACCGGGTAGACAGTGAGTATTAAGTCACCAAAGTTCAAAGTTCAATGTCGCACCTTCGACTTGAATCCTACTAAGCCAAAAGCATCAGTCATTGAGTTTGATTGAGGCTTGTTGAAGTGGTATGATGGAACTGGGTAGAAATACCAATCCAATAGGCACTATGGGGTAACAGCATTTTTAAAATTGAGTAAATGTCCGATATCAAGTTAGCCATGTGAATATTCAAGTAAGGAAAAAGAACATCACAAACCAGAGATTCCAGGTGAGCAACCTGTAAAAACAAAACTGGCATGCAATTGAATGCATTTCTCGAAGCTTGTTTTCATACACGTGTCTGTGGCAAGCACCCCGAAAACCAAAGATGATTTAGCAAGACACATTCTACTTGAGGGACGTCGCGTTCAACAACGATTTGAATGAGTATGTGTGTATGACACTTGCACCTTTAGGAGAGAAAAATCCAAATTCTGCTCCCTTAGCTTTACCCGAGCTTATGCTCGTTATAACCGTCACCAGACGAATCGTGTAACACCCGTCCTCCGTTGTTGATCGCCGTCCACAAACGTATTTTGCACCACGTCCTTCAATGCACAGTCTTTCTACCTGGGCCATCCCCCAAATTCTGAACTAGAATCCTTCCATCAGGGCGAATGCCATCGTCAGTGACGTTTAATGAAACGGCGGTCCACCTCCAAGAAGAATGCTTGTTTGTTTGTTTGTTTGTTTTTATCGTAAATTTTCCTCACTCAGATTCGATGGCTTTGGCAAAAATTCACACACACACACACACACTGGACACTGCTGTGTGGATACCTAACAAATATTGTTTCACTCATATATTTTTCTGTCTTTATTTCTTCTTTTACTTTATCGGGTCTACAACAGCACTACGAATCTTCAAAGGGAGGCATATTATGTTCCGAGCACACCGAATATCGTCTGACAGATGGGCGAAGGCGTCCGGAAGTTCATCCAGTCTTGATGAGGCAATACACCAGGCGTACATATATATATATATATATATATATACGTTTGAGTGTCACTTTCTAAAACTGTGCATCGAACAAAAACTTGAGAGGAAGTATTTTCAGAACCGGTGCTGATATTTGACTGATATGCCCCCAACAAGCGATCCCAAAGAGAAGCTAACTTCACCTACCTGGGTAGGACAAGATCCGGTATAGGCTGTTCATCTTCGTATTCTTTGCCAAGTTTCTTGCCCACCTTTGGAAGAACTATTTCCTGTAGAATATTGTTGAAGTTTATGTGGAATATGTCTAGGGTTGTCGCTAGCTGGCGACCATGCAGCGTTTTTCCGCATCCAGGCGGTCCGAGAAGTAAAATTCGCAATGCGGGAATCTGCAGATAAGACAGGGTTTTTGAAGTTAACGCCTCAAATCAAAGTCATCAAAAACCAAGTAAAAGGGGCTTGGGTAAGAATGCACTCGCAGCTTACGTTGTGTCAACTCTTTTGTGCTCTGCTGCTATAAAAAATTAAAAGGAGACCAGTGTGCATGTGTGTACCGCCAGATTTATTTGAAAGCGAGTCGATATTTCTGGATCAACACCTTTATCTCTACCAATAGAAAGCTGTTGCCAAACTGAGAATGTTTCGTGGCGATAATGTCAAGGTAGCTCTGATTTGCAAAGGTAAAAACTTCACTGTCGTCATACAAACGAAATTCACAGGAGCCCCGACCGAGAAATAAAAGGCGGATGCCTTTAGGTGGTGTGACTGAGCGAAATGGATTCCTTCCACTGCGGCTTTCTGAAGAGCCCATTGTGTAACTGCGGGTTCCGGGTTTCCCTTCGGAAAACCAAATATCATTGCATAATACGCGCAATATCTGAATGTAAAGATGTCTCTGAGAAAAAGCTTGGAATGTTTGGCCCAGTCATCTTCTAGGTAAGCGTGGACAATTCTTCATTCTAACCAATTCTCGTGGATGAGTTCATTCCTGTTCCGCGTAACCGCGTACTTTCTACCGGTTGATCTAACTGTCAAGCTTTTGTTTCCATTCTTAAAAACATTTTCACCCTCATTTGATACAAGTCGAATGTATCAAGTTGTTGCACGGATTCTGCTTGCTAGAGTGATCTCCAAGATGTCCCCGAGCTAGTTATACTTTGCCTCCATACAACACAATACAACAAAGCAGTTAGCGGTAATGGGCACGCTTGTTTATTGAACCACCAGTTCATTCAAGTTGATCTGATAGTAAGTTCGATAAAAAGTTGAAGGCTGTGTAGGAGAGCAAGTTGTTTAACGTCGAACCGCCAGAATATTTTACGATTACTGACATGCTGCTGTCAAAGATTCTGAGATGTTACCCATAATGATCTGCACAAATGGTATTCTTTCTGACCGCAACTGCAGTCCAGATCCCAAGGGTCTAGTCATTACCAGATGTTTAACTTTGGAGAGCTTAACCTGTTTGTTGGGCCACCCGAAAATACAAAATATGTGCCTTATTTTCAGGAACGTGAAACTGCAGAACACCTATTGTGGATGCTCACTTTACTTTTAAATGTATGGCTGTATGCTGTTTGCCCTTGCCGATGGCAGGACACAGCCCGCTGAGTGACAAATAGTTTTGCAAGTATTATGTAGCATGTATGTTTTGTTTGATAATTTCTTCCTCTCTAGAATGTGTTTATTTGCCTTATAATAATATCTGCACCCTACATCTCCTGTTCAATGACGCCAAATTATTCAAATGCGAACCTCCAGATCATACGGAAAAAATCAAAGGAACCTAGTAAATATTGGGGCTGATTTGAGTCAACGTTTTCTATGACGTAGGGGACTTCAAATAATATGAAAGGAGCTGAGACATTACTGACATATGTGATCAGGAGAGAGTCTCACAAATCGGATTCTACCATAACACTGTTGCATGATATCCAAATGAAGTCACAAAGCTGGGCGCCATAAAACGCGCACTACAAAGCCAAATGATCCGGTCCAGGACAGGATTTTGGAGGGCAAAAGTTCCTTTATGAGCAGCTTTTCGTAATATTTTTACTACCTTGAGTTTTCTCTTTGTTCAACGACGACGGAGCTCTGTGAATAATTTTAAGGAACACAGGCCGCAGCCGAACAAAAAAATAAGTTGTGCGCAGTGACGTGAGCAATTCCTGCGTTCCAAAATTTTTGACGGGCTGATTGAGTCGTGCATAAAGCTTGAGGCTTCAGTTCTTTCAGAGGATGAGGTGCGCAATCTGGGGACCTGAAGTTTAATCACAAAAATCTCCTAAATGAGGTTTTCTTGACCGGATCCAAGTTTTACGATCTGACTGATTAGTTCACACTAATAGTTCACACTAAGCATCTGCTTGCTGATCTTCTTTTCCGCCCCTATTTGGAAAGTGAAGATAGACACCCGATATGTGGTTCAAAAATACACTGACTTCATTATATACATAGCCCATTTCACCCCACACAAGAGTAGTTTCCTCAGAGGTGATTTAGTGATCACATATCTGGTGGTATTTACAGGTATTTACCTGAATCCAACTCATTACCAAGGTGAACCAATTTGATAATCTTAAAACTTTGATCACATTTTGCAAGTTTTGTGGAATATTACATAGAGTCGGGTTTCTAAAATATGATCATAAGACTCCACAAACCGTCATCAACTAAACCAACAAAGGAGTTTCAGATAATGAGCTTAGATTGTTGGTATCTTACATCAGAATAATAATTTTCAATAAGTTACTTACGTGAATAGGATGCTCCACATCGGACAGAATGGATTCCGGTGACTCCATAAACCTTGCCCTTGCCTCCTCGCTTGAGAAGTAGTACACAAGGTTGTCGAAAATTGCACCAACATCGGGATCACCAGCTCGAAGTACACCATAATCATGCAAGGTCACTGGGCAGAAGTAACTTGTCAGCCCAAGTTTTTTATTCATATTCCGACTGGTGTTTTCTTCCTAAAGTTACAAATATTCCGAAAATCATGTATGCAAACACTAAATAGGCCATTTGGAGCAACCTTTATACACTATACGAAGCTGTACACTTGAGTGTGATTTCGTTTCAGGGATGGTGTCTAGTGTAAAGTTTTGTCAAAGGCAGTACTAGTGCAATATAAAATCGTTCAGCTGTAACACCCCTCCGGTGACTAGCTGCCATGCCACCCGAGGGAAGGACGAGGGCTGAGGAACTGCCAGGTTTCCCAAACCTAGACAGGGGAAGTCAAGATGCAGAGGTTGGGTTCAAACCACGGACCTTCCGGTCAGTAAATTCCCGCTCTAACCACCCATCTCACCCCACTGCAATATACATCAAGAAAACCCTTTTAACGGCGCACTCTAGTTTAAGCTGACTTATGGTTTACATTACGACTGGATCGCAACACAATCCGTTAAATTTCTGACTAAGGTTAGACTAAGCGTCACTTCTCATAAAACAGTAGACGTGGTCTTCATTCAGCTAAAGTGAGTCAGAATTTTTTCGGCAGTTCAATGCGCAGTATTTGTGGCAGATAGTAAAGTTGAGGTCATAGTTCGTTAACGCTAGCAACACAGCATACAGTAGTGCGTGATTTCAACGGTGGTCAACGCTGGAGGCACTTCGATCTCAGTCACTCAATGGTCGTCCCGTTCTCATTGAGCTCTACTGACCTGTGTCCCTAACCGATGATGCTTCGTGTCAAAAGAAGTCCATGATTCTTCAGGTGAAAATGTTGATAAATGAGCTACATACGGATATATCTGATGCACAGCAAACCGCAAAACCATAGAACTTTTTGGTTTGTTACGTGGATTCCCTAATCGATTATTAATCTGTGGTGTAGCACATATAGCCGCGCTTCAGGACTTACTTCCTCCTCTGTTTCTTCTACTCCTTCGTCCATTTTCTCATTGCTCTCTTCCCCGCCTTCTTCTCCCTCCTCTTCCTCTTCACCAACTTCCTCGGCAAATTCCTCCGCTTCCTCTTCAAAGGCTTCAGCATCCTCTTCCTCCTCTTCTTCGAGGTCTTCCTGCGACACCTCGAAAGGTGGAATCGTGAACGGCTCTACACAAGGAAAGATACCAGTTGATCTTTGTTTCTTTACCAAGGCATTTGCAAGTATGACATCAGTCACATTGAAAATCACACACAATACGTTCTTAGGACCTGATCAACCAAATACACTGTGCTTAGTGGAAGAGAGGAGTACATAAAATGTACTAGCATCGTCTTATTACGTCAAATAACAGGAAGACAAGGTTACCCGCAACAGAGTCCACATCAAGGCCATGTTCAGAATCAACTGCGAACTCCTGGTGTCAACTTTATGTGACTAATTTCAAAACCAGAACAAAATCTCCCAAATACATGCAGTTAAGGAAAGAACCTGAGAAGTCATCATGTGTCAGCGCAACCAAGTGATGAAGATGAGCTGCGATGGCTTAAACAGAAAGTGATTCAGGTCTGCACATAAAAGTTTGTTGATCCATCATTACTGAACCAAACTGTTTTTCAAGAGGGTACAAATTTAGCGTAAAAATCAAAAATATTCTGATCTCTTCTTAACTACTTACAATCGGGAGAAGACTTTTCGACACTTCCCGAGAAAGCTAGTCATCCGAGAGGCCAGTCAATCCCAGGTCAAGTAACTACAACTTTTCTCTGCATTGCATTACAGTGCTTAAGTTTTGTTCCTACAGCTAAAGACGCAGATGAAAAGCAGTTCTATAAACTCTTTTGGCATCCTGCACCTCTTCTCAGTGAAGCAGCCGCTTTTAACGGATTTGACCGAATTCCCAGTGTCAGAACTATAGAATACATTTGTTTTTCTGTAAGCGACTTTCAGGGCTACTTTGCTTTCCTCATGTCACAAGATGCTCCTCACCTTCCAAAATTCAACTGATAAACATTGAGTTTGCATGAGAGTAGTCTTCCTCTGTGGATCAGTCATTAGGCTAACATGTGTTCCGCACGGTAAGCTTTTTAAAGAGACCGATTTCCCACGCTTATATCAGCTAATATTGTACGGGATTTTCCTCACATATTACCTTTCTATGATTTCGAATTATTGGAAAGCACTGTATACGACACTGTTGCCTATTACCACAAGGTTGAAATGAATTTAGAGCCTCTGAACGTTCCGGCCTAAATTCGGCAAGGCTCAGCCGCAGCACCCTTTCGGTGCCTAACTGCCATGCCGCCTGAAGGTTGCACGGGAGCTGGGATTTTGTCAGGTTGCCCAAGCCTAGAAAGAAAAAGTCGAGAGGCGGAGGTCGGGTTCGAACCTTTCGGCCAGTAAATTCGCGTTCTAACCACCTGGGACATCCCGCCCCCGATTGACCAAGGTTGACAAAATAAACCCACAACTCTTTTTCATAAAATAAACTACTCACAAGGTTGCCGAAAACTCTTCGACAGCCCATGACCGGTTTCGCCCTTCTTAGGGCTCATCAGGTATGCGCAGTCCCCGAGTTTGCGTCAACCTTATATTCTACTTGAACCCAAATTGGTCTCTTTTCGAGAAATACGAGAGATTCAGTTGCGTCTCTCACAAAAACCAAATTGATTTGAAAATGAGTGTATTTCTCGATAACTCACAACTCCCCTTCCAAGTTCCATATAATATGCATTCACTTAAAATGCCATCATTCGCGGAACATTGTACCAGTAAAGTGATTAGATATTTAACCCAACTGACCAAGCTTCGACCTAGCTAAGCTGACGATGAGCAGGGTGCAAGCTTCGTTATTTCTAACAAACACGCAGTGTTTAACTCTACTTGTTGCCATTCCTTTCTTCTATCCTAAAATCAGATGAGATGTTCAGCAGAAAATTCAGTCTGAAAAAGTTGTTGGGCACACAGCGCCAATGGACCACTGAAGTGATCTTCACTTTCATATTGGCTGCGAACAACTACAAATTAGCCCATGCGTTGTTTGAAGAAACCTGGACTTAGTGTGATTAAAGGTCTGTTACCTAGTATGAGGATGTCCCTCACACAGTTGACAGTTACTTACCATGAATAGCATAGAGCATTGAAAAAAGGTAGGCCTCAAAGTAGGTTCGATAACAAATCGAAACCATTTCCTTATAATATCATTTCGCCTGCTTGTGAATTTCTCCACAATGGATAGAACTACTGTCTTTCTGCAGTACGTAAGTCCCTTTCTTGCCCGATTCGTGGAAATGCAAAACGACGGGTCCGGCCCAACTTACTCCACACAGACCGAGTAAATCAGGAAAAACCGTTCGCTACCCTACTTTCCACAGTGAATTGAATGAGTGAAATATCTGTTAGATCGCTTTGGAAGGCCCATTTGACCTCCCCCCCTCCCTCCGACCCGCATGGAGGCGTGTACCCTGATCACAACCTTTATGAGTGTACTTTCACCGCATTCTGTCTGTATCAACTGATCCACTAATGTCGCCGATCATTAGCACCTTCATTCAGCAACTGGATAACTACGATTTTAGCCTTGTATTCAGGGAGTATTTCAATACTAAAGCCATCGGAGCCATGGGCCGAGGTTGGTAATACTTAGTGAGTATCGATTTTATTCTCGTGGGCACGAAAATTCGTCCTTCTTAGTACCAGGCTGTGGGTGCGCGGGAAAATAACACTAGTATGAATTAAATGCTATCCGTTCAACTGCTAGCTAATCGAGCATACTTGTTTTTTCGGACCACAAACAGCGCAATTGAGCTTCCCGTATTGCGCAACAGTGCTAACAGTCAAGCATCTAAAAAGTTTGAGAATCCAGTGAATACCAGATTTCCGTGATGTGGTGGTGGAAATTTTCAGATTGGGTGCATCCAAACCAGACAGTGGTTGCTCTGTTCAGTGAGTTCAGAAATTTGCTTGCAAACGTTTCGTTGTCATTCGAAGGGACATTGTTACAGTGTGGTTAGGTAGGTATGTTCCTCCGTCTTGTTTTACTCTAGGCATAGCCGTAATGACGACTGTGCTTGCACCGTAACCAAATGTTTGAATTTCATTTCACCCGTTATCCGACTAACTAGTTAACAGTCTGTGTTGCGCTGTGGTTCGTCGTGGTTCAGTGCACTAGATTGGTCCGTGCTTTTGTTCATCCTTTCATCGTTCTGATTATCCCACATGCAATGTGGTCTTTCTTCCTATTGATTGGTTGTTTGATGTTCGGCAACCGTCCCAGATGTCACATATATATAGTTTGAGAATTTGCGAAGGAAGTTTATGGCTGCAGGGGAAACGCTGTTTACAAGAGACCGGGATTTGGCTACGATAACCTGGGTAACCTGTATTTCTTCGTACCATGACTAAACTACTGCTGACATCCACTGCACATAAGACAGCTGAATTAAATTCGCCCATAAATCGATGCTCCTAAATCATTTGCCGAACTCCCTCGAAAATACCTCCAGTCAAACGTCGTAAATAAGCACGCCTGCATGCTGCCGACCATTCACTCATGTTTAATTTATGGGCCACTTATCCCATACAAAGAATATGTGCGACCCGCCTCAATGATTCCTAGTTATACGAGCTGGAACTGTGTTCTGAAAAGTTAGAAGGTAAAGTCTCTATTACTTCGTTGAATCTGGAATATCAGTGACGTACTTTTTAAGTGAATGAGAACTTCATCCCTCAGCTGGTCAAATGATTTATCAGCAATGTCGACGTCAAAAACGTCCACTGAGATTCCATATTCGTTCACATGTCCCCTCAGTAATTGCCTACTTTTCTTCCATTGATCAGCATCCTCCTTCAGTTTTTCAATGGCTCCATCCCTTTGGTGACCGGCAGGAGGAAGTGGATCCAGTTGGGGTTTATTCATCTCATCTGTACCAGCACTAGTTCCAGCGGGAATCGTCTCAATGTCTTCGGAAACTTCTTTGTCTGTAAACGGTGCTTCTGGCTGAGAGGAAGAGAATACGGACATAGTTAAAGTACACAGCAACTTCCACAGCGAATCTTTTGTTCGTATTTGTTGTGCAGTGATCCTATTTGAAATAATGCCTCCACAAAAAGTCCATAGTAACTGTTGTATTTTATTTGGAAAGAAGCGATCCTCAAACGCCATGGAGAAATGGTTTTCAGACTGAACAGTTCACCGCTGTTTAACCCATACTGACGAACAAAACTGCGCTTCAATTATGTATGCAGTATGGTCTTTACCATCAGAGTAAACCGTCAATTTATTTTAGCGTACATTATGGTAGAAGGACAGAATCAATGGCATAACATGAAATGCTGCTATTTGAATTGGATGACCATAGTGAGCGCCAGCTGTTGTGAATGTTTCCAAAGGAAACGCAACTACTAGACAAAACAGGTTGTTGTGTCAATAAATTTGGTAAATTTTAGATTTCATCTGGTCAGTGAAGCCAGCCTATGCTAAAAACCCGAAAAGCCCTGTTCAGCTGTTTCAACCCTGTTTTGAATCGTCAGCAGTGTCATCATCATCATTATCATTGTCAGCTGCAATAACCGCGTACTTGTCGTACAGTGGCTGTAGCTGCCAAAGTTTCGTTCACCGATGATTTCGGGAGTTGGGATAGGTAGCTGCGCATTGGAGGCGGGAGCTGATAAATTAGTGCGTCAGTAGTGCACTGTAGGTGGATTGTCAAGTGGGGGGATTGAGAAGGGAGCTATGCGTTGAAGGCAATAGCTTGGATGCATGAGCGCCGCTGAGGGCGCGACTGGACCATGTCTGACAATGTCTCTTACCATTGACATGGCCCGTCTCGGGGTCCCCATCCAGAAAGACGGCAATGACCAGCGCAGCTGAGTCTCCAGGTATTGGTAGTGTGCACCTCACGAAATTCAGATTTCCCAACCCATGACCTTCTGTCCAACGGTTGAAAAATTAACTGTTTGGCAACTAATGGATGGACACGCGTATGGTGGGCTGTCACTTGGCAGGATATAGGGCCACACATTCTTTACCCGCACAGATCGTATCATTTGGTCACGTATTGACTGATTCCTCAAGTGATAAATTCTAACTGACAGTTTCACTCATCTTGTGAAACTGTGCTTCTAGTGGAGTGAGGAGATTTTGTAATTTTCCGTTGTCCTGTCAGTGAAGCCAGTCAATTCCAAAAGGCCCCGTACAGTTGTTTAACCACTGGCCGGAAGGTCACCGGTTTGAAGCCCTCTGAGTTTCGTGATATTCTCATTGCTGACGTTTCCCAATAGAGAGGAAACAGCTGTACAGTAGTTCTCGGATTTTCAACTCAGACTAGTCTCACTGGAAGGACAAAATCTCAATCAACTTCCTTCTTTTTGGTGTTAAGTCCAGTTCACAGTAGGACCTCCTAACAAAATTGCCGGAAGTCACGTTAAAGGGTAATAGGTGACCTTATAGTTTTCAAGTAATAGGATTTGTGACCAACTGCTATCATAGGGTAATACATTCATTCATCCGTCTCACACATTCCAGCGATGAGAAACTAAGACCGAGAATGGAAACCATTGGTGGAATTCCCTTTTCTATGTGGCACCATGTTACAGTCTTCACATCTGATGCGGTGTTTCTCTAGCGTGTTCCCTCAATATGGCTTTTTTGGCAAACATGTGGGACAAAGTAAACAAACCCAAAACCTATCTAAACAGTTGTCAGTAGACCGCAGGAGACACAGAGGTTGACATCCATATGGAGTATCCACAATTTCTCGCACGCTCATCGTGAAGCTTCGAACGACTAACTATATGATGTTTTCGGGAAATGGGCCATAACCCACGGACTTGCTCAGCTGGTTGCAGGATTTGAAAAGTGTGGGCAAAGGCGACCAGTGATCGCGGAGTGTGAGGAAGAGAATAACATTTGTGGCATTTTTTGATGGACAAGTTGTTGTTTAGCTGTGAGAGGCTACAGTAGACTTAAACCAGGCGGTTGTTGCCAACACTCATCACGCGAATCCACCTTGATGAAACCTAGCAACCAGTACCGCACTCCTTTAGACAATGCATCATTGTGAGCAATGTGAATTTTGGTGCTCAGAAAACCATACATATTCACGATGTTGTCTTCATAGTCGGAGCAGTAACAGAGGGTTAATAATGATGGAAACTGCCTAATAAGGGGAAATGGACGACCAAATTTATGGTATAAAAAAGCTCGAAGTAGTAGAAACACACAGGATGCCGGTATCTGTCCAAAACCTACCTAGACTAAAGGCGCCATTTCAAATACGAATCCCGAATGCGTTAGACTAATCCTATCCTACCAAATATCTCTAAAATTTACTTTCAAGTGAGACCAGTGGTAGATACGCCTAGACATGCAGAATTCCACTCGGCACAATATGGCAAAGTGCATGCTGAGGGTTCCCGAGTTAGTCTGACAGTATCTTGCAGTATGGCCTTTGTAATATTTTTGACTTCGTATGATCCACTGGAAAATGTGTCCTCCCGACGCGACCTTTTGATCATGATGTATCTTTCATGGGAGGGCAAAATTTTATCTGGTATTATTCAGCACTCCTTCAACCAGTCAGTCATCTGAATTGAATCACTGGAATAACTCATGCTTCGGCGCACTCTGAAAACATAGTTTGCGCCTTGAACTTCGACGGCCTTGCATTATTCTTTAGTACATTCAGGACTAGAATCGATAGCGCTCCCATTAAATATCCTGGGGGGCTCTTCGGTAGACCATGTATTTACTGTCAGTAACAATCAAAACAAAATCAATTAGGTCCTGAGCAGAGTAGTTTTTGTACGTTCTCCAAGGGCGAAGAAACAGTGGGAAATAGTTTCTACTCCCAAAGCGTCGGCTGCACAGACGCATGTCAAGCATCAAGTTGGTCATGGCAGTAGGCGAATTCCAAAGATTTCGGTCCTCCAGAAAATGGAAGAATCTTTGTTCACTGCTCGTATAGTAAAACGGTTGGAACTACACCATACAACAAATGACACCCTGGAGAGGATTTCCATCACATACAAACTGAATGGGGTCTTATCAAAGCCTCGGATTACCACAGTCATTTTAAAAATAATAATAATAAAATAATCGTTTGACTGCAACACTCTTTTGGTGAGTAGCTGCCATGCAACCTGAAGACAACAAGAGGACAAAGATACTGCCAAGTTATGCAGGTCTGGACAGCAGCAGTCGAGATTATGGGTTTGGAGTCGAACTGACTGACTCATCCTCAGAGGTGCGGTAACTTGGAGTCGATAAGTATTGCCATCAGGTAGCATGTAGTTATTGCGCGTCACAGACTATGCTCCACAGAAACAATATGCTGTTTTCGGGAAGCATCTGAATTTACCCAAAAACGATAGACACTCGTATTATCTACATAATCACGGTGATTGCCTGACCCCAATCATTATCAGAATTGACTCTGCTTGCACGCTTACTTGGTTAGTAGTTTCCAAAATCATACCGATACAAGCCCACACAGAATACAATAGTTTCTGTTGTATCCGAAATCAAAGGTCACCTTACCATATCTGATCACCTTTGTCAGATGATCGT